TCTCGATTTTTCAGGTTTTTAATTTCTCAATAGTCGAACATTTTACTGGATTTTTCGGTTTCTCGATTTTTCTAACTTTTTCTCTATTTCTCGATTATTCGATGATTTCAATTTTAGATTTTTTGATGATTTGATCTTTCGATTTTTCGTCTTTTCGGCTTTCGATTTTTCGGTTTTTCAATTTGTCGACTTTTAAAAGTTTTGATTTTTTGATTTTTTTTATTTTTCCATTCTTAAATTTTTCGATTTTTCAGTTTTTCAAATGTTTTAATTTTCCGATTTCTCGATTTAGCAGTATTCCGATATTGCAATTTTTCGATTTTTTGATTTCTCAATAATTCAGTGTTTCATCAGTTTTTAGATTTTTAAAATTTTACATTTTTCGATTTTACGATTTTTTGATGTTTCGTTTTCCCGATTTTTTAATATTTTAATTTTTTGAATTTTTCAATATTCCAATTTGGGGAATTTTTCATTTTTGGATTAATTAATTTTTCGATATTTTAAGTTTTTAACTGTTTTATTCTTCTGGACTTTTTTTGTTTCTCGATTTTTCGATTTCCCAAATTTTTCGATGTTTTGATTTTTCAATTTTTCAATTTACCGATTTTTAGATATTATAGTTTTTTTGCGATTTTTGAATTTCTTGCTTTTTCAAATATTTCTATTCTTCAATTTTTCGATTTTAAAATTTTTTTGTTTCTCAATTTTTCGATTTAAAATATTTTTGATATTTCGATTTTTTAATTTGTCGATTTTTCAATATTTAAATAATAAAAAATTTGTATCTTTCAAAGAAGTAGGATTTGTTTGACTGTACTTCAGGGACGAGGGAGGTTCTGTCGAAATAACCTTGCAAAAATATTGCATATAACTGTTCTAAAACAAAACTTAATAAACAAAGTTAAAAAAATATATATTAGGAGTAAATCGTAATTTGGACAAAAAACAAAGAAGTTTAATTTTGTTCATAATAATTGTAGAAAATCAAATCGAAATAAATAATCTTGAAGCGAAAGGCTACTTTCATGTTTTTTGGCGTTTCATGACACCTAGAGTATGAAAAAATTGGTCCCTGTTTCTTTGTAGCGATTTTAATTGGATATATAGATAATCCCTGAACCGGACTATATTTAAATCAGTACCAGGATATATTAGAAGTTTCTGAGAAATCTGATACGTAAATTAAGGAATTTATAGAAAATTCTTGACGTTTTAGAAATTCAATTTTAAAAAATTGGTCTAAAGAGTTTAGACAGTACTTCCCTCGCTGTCGGAAACTTGACGACTGCATGCCTATTGTGTTTTTTTTCTCATTACATTTTTGTAGTGGGAATTTAAAAAAAAATTGCGATGACGTCATCAACATTTTTGCAAGGACACGTATATCAGTTGGGATAGATGTAGTGTAATACTAAGAATAAAATTATTATGTTCTCAAATTTTCGGGAAAATGAATTGGGTCGTTTTGAATATTGATTTGTAATAATCAATAAAATAACGAAACAATTTACTCCCGTATACGTATCAGAGACAACTGAAAATCGTGTATGTATAAACATTCTTAATTTAAGATAACAGGCGTAACAGCATACGTGAGAGTCAAACAGAGAAACTGTAAACAAAACGACCATCGGTTTTATTGCTTCGACTTCCGCTTATTATATAAAACATTGGGTTTTATTTTAATTCTTGACGGTGAAATTCACAATTGGTTGATTATAAACATGTCTATTTCACATTCGCGGAACCAAGTGAACGCATAAAACAAATGCAGGTCTGTAATGTTAAAGTCGATGTAAATAAGCGTGCTACCCTTATGTTTCAACCGAGTTTTTCCTTTAACAAATTTTGTGTCTACCAAATTGGGTTGGTTGGGGTGTAATACTAATAATAAGTGTTGCCTTTAATTTAATCAATAAAATAAATTGACTTCATTAATTTTTTTGAACCACCTCTTAAGAAAATCTAAAAAATATGAATGGAATGATAAATCACAAGTACAAACTCATCATATTTTTTGCATTTTAGATAGGATTTATTCAGCAAAATTTAAGGGTGACGTCATCAATTTTTTTAGGAGGGATGAACAAATACATTTTGAACAAAAGTTTACCATGCTTATAATAACTTTAAAATATTCCCAAGATTTCAAAGCATTCGGTTTTGTAATTCCTGATTAAATCGATAAAATAAATTCACGCCTTCATTAATTTTTTTGAGTCACCCTGCATATGCAAATCCAAAAATATGAATGGAATGATAAATCACAAGTACAGACTCATCATATTTTGTACATTTTAGATACGATTTATTCGGCAAACTTTTGAGCTGACGTCATCAGTTTTTTGTAGAAGATAACCAAATATATTTTGACTAAAAATTTATTATGCTCTTTATAACCTTAAAACAACTGCAAGATTTCAAAGCATTCGGTTTTGTAGTTCCTGATTAAATCAATAAAATAAATTTATGCATTCATAAATTTTTTTGAGTCACCCTGTATATGCAAATCGAAAAAATTTGAATGGAATGATAAATCACAAGAAGAGACTCACCATATTTTGTACATTTTAGATAGGATTTATTCAGCAAAATTTTGTGGTGACGTCATAAATTTTTTAGGGGGGACGACCAAATACGTTTTGATCAAAAAGTTACCATGCTTATGATAATTTTAAAATATCTTCAAGATTTCGAAGCATTCGGTTTTGTAGTTCCTGAGTAAATCAGTAAAATAAATTTACGCTTTCATTTATTTTCTTGAATCACCCTGTATATGCAAATCCAAAAAATATGAATGGAGTGATAGATCACAAGTACAGACTGATCATATTTTGTACATTTTAGATATGATTTATTCGGCAAATTTTCGAGCTGACGTCATCAGGTTTTTGGAGGGGATAAGCAAATATATTTTGACTAAACATTTATTATGCTCTTTATAACCTTAAAACATCTGCAAGATGTCAGAGCATTCCGTTTTGTAGTTCCTGATTAAATCAATAAAATATATTTACGCATTCATTAATTTTTTTGAGTCACTCTGTATATGCAAATCCAAAAAATAAGAATGGAGTGATAAATGACAAGTACAGGCTCATCATATTTTGTATATTTTAGATATGATTTATTCCGCAAACTTTCGAGCTGACGTCATCAAGTTTTTGGAGGGGATAAGCAAATATATTTTGACTAAACATTTATTATGCTCTTTATGACCTTAAAACATCTGCAAGATTTCAGAACATTCGGTTTTGTAGTTCCTGATTAAATCAATAAAATATATTTACGCATTCATTAATTTTTTTGAGTCACCCTGTATATGCAAATCCAAAAAATATGGATGGAGTGATAAATTACAAGTACAGACTCATCATATTTTTACAGTTTAGATAGGATTTATTCGGCAAACTTTCGAGCTGACGTCATCAATTTTTTGGAGGGGATAAGCAAATATATTTTGACTAAACATTTTTTATGCTCTTTATAACCTTAAAACATCTGCAAGATTTCAAAGCATTCGGTTTTGTAGTTTCTGAGTAAATCAGTAAAATAAATTTACGCATTCATTAATTTTTTTGAGTCACCCTGTATATGCAAATCCAAAAAATATGAATGGAGTGATAGATCACAAGTACAGACTCATCATATTTTGTACATTTTAGATATGATTTATTCCACAAACTTTTGAGCTGACGTCATCAAGTTTTTGGAGGGGATAAGCAAATATTTTTTGACTAAAGGTTTATGATGCTCTTTATAGCCTTAAAACATCTGCAACATTTCAAAGCATTCTGGTTAGCAGATTAAAAATTAAATTTCAAAATGTTGTTTTATAATTTTGATTTTTTTTCCAAAAATCTGGACGTTTCGGGTGAAAAGTCGATTCAGAGTTGTAAACTACATGTGTAGGACTATGTTATTTTATACAATTGAAAACCCATTTACTATGTACAATTTTGAAGTGACGTCATCGCATTAGTGGTGGGGATGATTAGACAAATTTTGGTTAGCGTTTTACCATCTACATGATATTCTTAATATAAGTACAAAATTTCACAACAATCGGTCGAGTACTTTCGGAGATTATCTGTCTAATAAAAATCCGGGGGCAGACGGACAGACGGACAGACGGACGGACAGACGGACGGACAGACGGACGGACAGACGGACAGACGGACAGACAGACGGAAATGGGAGACCTATTTCTTCGTCTTCTAGGGGTCATGAAAGATCGAGAAAACGTAAAAGTAGAGAGTCGGCCGACGGACTCGATTACAATACTTCCTTTGCTTACGCTCGGGAAGTAAAAATGTACAAAATTTTCTCAAATACCAAAATAATAGGTGGGGAAAAATTACAAATAGAATCAAAGTAATTTCTGTTAAATCGATCACATAAATACTTTATTTTAAACTGGAGGCCACAATCTAGAATAATTTATGTGTAAAAAATAAAAATGTGAAAGACTGACTTTTATTGAATAATTGAAAACATAATATATACCTTCAACTGACACGAATGTGGTTACTTAATTGTGTCATCAAAAATTACTTTCAGTTTGTCCAAATCACTTTTAACGGTTAAATAAAATTTTAAATAGGGACCAAATGGAAAGACTCACGCAAAGCTAAGTCATAGTAATCGATACAATTTTTTCCATTGATACACCAATTTTAATTAATAAAGTAATTAAAAAAAAACGAAAATGGTGCGAATTGTATCAGTTGATAAAGTTTTTAATTTGTTATAATTTTCGTAAAATATGTACGAAAAAATGTATTTTTGTCCGTGTTGATTATAAATAACTGTTTCTAAATAATTCAAACCGTCGGCTTTTGCTTTATTTCAAAAATAGTACATTTCAATTAAAAACAATATGCCACCATATGCAAATTAATCATTCCGTCCAGTGCTCAAATGATTATCCAGCCTAATGGAATAATCGTTTGCCACACACAGATCGTTACTCCAGCACATGCGCTTCTTTTCCCCGTTTTCCCATATTCGCTGTCGACCAAGCACGGCAAAATGCCGCTCAATCTCAACGAAGATGTGTTTTGAAAAAAACGTCATCGAATCCGCACAGTTTGGTGGCCACTCGCACCAAATCTAAGCACAAACACCTCGCTTAGCTGTAAATTTGTGTTCGTTTCGTTTTCCTCGAGGATTTTCTAAAATCTATTCAACAGGTAAGCTATTGATTTTCTTGTTTATGTGGAAGCAAAGACTCTTGGACTTGTTGATTGCCGCGAGCTCGAGGAGGCCCGCTCTGTCAATATTTAAATGCCGTGCAAATAAATTACGAGCGCTTTTCGCTCATTTTCACGTCGGTTATTTATAGCCGATGGTCGATTTGGCTGTTTATCGCACCTCGGTGCGTCAGATGGGAAGTTGCTTCCACAAGTGAGTGAGGCAACTTCCGGGTTTCCCATGGGCTGGGGCCGCGAGTGTGGCAGTCGTGCTGGAAGTGCTGGCTTTTGCAGATGCCGGAAAGCTTGCTTTTACCCGCGAGTTACATCGTGATGGCGGAAGCCGAACCGGACCTAAGCACCTTCGAGAACAAGACCGGCCTGGCCGAGGACATGAAGTTTCTTGCTTCCATGCCGGAGCTGTGTGACGTCACATTTCTTGTGGGAGACACCAGGGAACCAGTGTGTGCCGTCAAGGCTGTGCTTGCCGCCAGGTCCAGGGTGTTCCACAAGATGCTGTACCAGGTAATCGACGTTTTTGTACCGCTGGAATATCACCCTGTTCTATACCTAACAACACTGATTTTTTAAATCAAACATTTTGTATATATCTAGTTACAAAATAATTATTTTAATTTTAATTATTTGAAAGCTGTAATTAATTCAGCAAGATAAATATACTAATGTTTTTATACTTTTCTATCACGCTACGAATTGAATCAATTTCCTGAATACCGCTTGACCTACTTGAAAAGTTTTGCCTAATGTATTTAAAATGTTTACTTTCGGCTAAATAAAAAAAAATTACGACTATTTAATTTAATATTTTTTCGAAATTATCATGCCCTAAGCTAGCTAACCCTTCAAAACACTGATGACGTCATTTCACACTTTTGTTAAGTAAATTTCACTTGAAATTAATAGCGCGGTATGTCTACAATTATGAACCTAGATAACAGATTTCTTTCAAATTTTGATAAGGTTCTGAGACTGAATTAATGATCTTACAACATTGACAAATATATTATTTACTTATGGCAATGGAAAAGTTAATAAGGGCATATCAAAACTTATGAAATAAATTGTTTTTTATTTGATTTTTATCAACAACGTTAAATTCCGTGAAATTCTGAGTATAAAGCGCCGTTGTAATGAACGTTAGATTGTAGTTATAGTTCAAAATTTTATATTCATACCCACCGAAAAGCTTATGACGTCATCTTTTTCGATTTTTCAATTTTTCGATTTTTTAAATTGTACATTTATCCAGTTCTCGATTTCTCGTTTTTTGATTTTCCGTTTTTTCGATTTTTTTAAATTCTCATTTTTCGATTTTCAAAGTTCCGTTTTAACCATTTTTTCATGCTTCGATTTCCCGATTTTAAAATTTTTTAGTATTCTATTTTTTCGTTTTGTGAATTTTCGATTTCTTGACCTCTTGATTTTTCGATTTTTAAAATTTTTAAATTTCTCGATTTTCCATAAGTTCAACATTTTATTTTTGGAATTTTTTTCAATTTGTTTTTTTTTTAGTTTTTCAATTTTTAGAAATTTTCTTCAAGGTTCTTCGATTGGTAGATTTCTCTATTTCTCGATTTCTTGATTTTTCGGTTATTTAAATTTTAGATTTTTCGCTTTTTTAATGATTCCATCTTTGGATTTTTCTCCTTTTCGGTTTTCGATTTTCCAGTTTTTGGATTTTTCAGTTTTGTTGAAATGAATGTTACATTGAAGTCACACGTCAAAATTTTATATTTATATCCACCGAAAAGCTTGTGGCGTCATCTTTTTCGATTTTTCAATTTTTCAATTTTACGATATTTCGATTTCTGTATCTTTCCACTTCTCGGTTTTTAAATGTTTGTGTTTGTAAATTTTTTTATTGTTCAATTTTTCAATTTTTCTTTTTCTAAATTTTTCGATGTTCCAATTTTTCAATTTTTTGACTTTCCAGCTTTTCAATTTTTCGATTTTCCGAATTTTCGATGTTTTGATTTTTCCATTTTTCGACTTCTTGATTACTCGAATAATCGATTTTTTGACTTTAAGATTTTTAGATTTTTTGATCAACTCAATTCCCGGCTTCTCGTCTTTTCGATGTTTCTATTTTCCAGTTTTTCAATTCTTCCATTTTTCGATTTTGAAGTTTTTCAATTTTTCGATTTTTCTTGTTTTTGATTTTACAGTTTTTCAATTTTTTTAAACCTTTGATTTATCGATTTTTAAATGTTTCTTTTGTTTTGGTTTTTTAGATTTTCTGAAATTTTTAATTTATCGATTTTTGGACTTTTCAACTTTTCAATTTTTCTATTTTGATTTCTCGATATTTCGATGTTTCGGTTTTAGAATTTTTCAATTTTTTTTTCGGTTTACCGGTTTAACAACATTTTTAGGTATTTCAGTTTTCGTGTCGATTTTTCGATTCCTGGATTTCTCGATCTTTTACTTTTTCGATTTTTCAAATTTCGAATTTTTGAATTTTAGATTTTTCGATTTTTCAATTTCTCGATTTCTCAATTTTTCGCTTTATGAAATATTAAATTTTTCGATATTTTAACTTTTCGATGTTTTAAATGTTAGATAAGTATTTCGATATTTTAATTTTTACATTTTCTTGATGTTTCGATTTCTCGTTCTTTCAATTCTTCGACTTTCCGGTTTTTAAATATTTTGATTTTTCAATTTTTCCTTTTTTAAATCTTTCGATATTTCATTTCTTTCAAATTTAAAAATTTTTCAGTTTTTAATTTTTCCGCTTTTCGATTTTTGGACTTTTCGATTTTTCCACTATTCGACTTCTCGATTGTTCGTCTTTTGGATATCCCGATTTTTTGATGTTTCGATTTCTCGGTACTTCAATTGTTCAATTTTTCAATTTTTGGACTTCTCAGCTTTTCAATTTTTCGATTTTCTAAATTTTCGTTTGATTTTTCAATTTTTCAATTTCCCGATTTTCGACATTTTAATTTTTGGGATTTTTCGATTTCTTGCTTTTTCAGTTTTTCTATTTTTCAATTTTTCGATGTTTTAGATTGTACATTTATCCAGTTCTCGTTTTATCGTTGTTTTGATTTTTCATTTTTTCGATGTTTTAAATTGCGCATTTTTCAATTTTCAATTTTTAAATTACTAATTTCTCGACATCTTGGTTTTTGGATTTTTGAAATTTTTCAATGTTTCCATTTTTCAAGTTTTTAATTTCTAAATAGTTGAACATTTTATTTTGGGTATTTTTTCAGTTTCTGGATTTTTCAGTTTATCAATTTTTCGTTCTATCGTTCTAACTTGTATTGTAGTAACATGGTTTTAGTGTTTACAAACTGTTTGAAATAAAAAAAAAAAAATCAGCAACGTTAAATTCCATAAAATTCTGAATACAAAGTGCCGTTGAAATGAACGTTACATTGAAGTCACACATCAAAATTTTATATTCATATCCACCGAAAAACTTGTGACGTCATCTTTTTCGATTTCTCGATCTTTCGATTTTTCCACTTCTCGATTTTTAAATTATTGTGTTTGTAATTTTCTTGATTTTTTTTATTTTTCAATTTTTCTTTATTTAATTTTTTCGATTTTCCAATTTTTCAATTTTTTGACTTTTCAGCTTTTTAATTTTTCCGATTTTCCGAATTTTCGATGTTTTGATTTTTCAATTTTTCGGTTTCCCAATTTTTTGACATTTTAGATTTCTTGCTTTTTCAATTTTTCTGTTCTTCAATTTTTCGATTTTATCCAGTTCTCGATTTCTGGTTTTTTGATTTCTTGTTTATACGATATTTTAAATTTCATGTTTTTCGGTTTTTAGTTTTCTGATTTTACGATTTTTCATGTTTCGATTTCCCGATTTTATTATTTTTTTTTGTTTCTTTGAATTTTCGATTTCTCTATCCTTCGATTTTTCTACTTCTCGATTTTTAAATTTTTGTGTTCGTAAATTTTATGATTGTTCAATTTTTCAATTCTGCTTTTTCTAAAATTTTCGGTTTTTTAATTTTCCAATTTTTTGACTTCAGCTTTTCAATTTTTCGATTTTCCGAATTTTCGATGTTTTGATTTTTCAATTTTTGGGTTTCCCAATTTTTTGACATTTTAGATTTCTTGCTTTTTCAATTTTTCTGTTCTTCAATTTTTCGATTTTATCCAGTTCTCGATTTCTCGTTTTTGATTTCTTGTTTTTCCGATTTTTTAAATTTCATATTTTTCGGTTTTTAGTTTTCCGATTTTACGATTTTTCATGTTTGGATTTGCCGATTTAAATTTTTTTTTTAATTTCTAATTTTTAGTTTTTTTGAATTTTCGATTTCTCGACATCTTAATTTTTCGATTTTTAAAAATTTTCAATTTCTGGATTTTTCAGGTTTTCTATTGCCCACAAGTTCAATATTTTATTTTGGGATTTTTTTTTCAATTTCTGGATTTTTCAGTTTTTCAAATTTTCGAACTTTCCTTCAAGATTCTTCGGTTTATAGATGTCTCTATTTTTCGATTTCTTTATTTTTCGATCTTTCGATTTTTCATCTTATCGGCTTTCGATTTTTCGGTTTTACAATTTTTCGATTTTTAAATTTTTAGATATTTCAGTTTTTCTGTTTTTCAGGTTTTCGATATATTATATGTATTTATACCGTATACTGGACTTCTTAGTAAAATATTTATTCGTCCCCAAAAAGAAATTGATGACGTCACCTCTAAATATTGTTCTAACTTGTACTGTAGTAACATAGTTTTAGTGTTTACAAATTGTTATTTGGAATTAAAAAAAAAAATCCAACAACGTTAAATTCCGTGAAATTCTGAGTGCAAAGTGCCGTTGAACTTACATTTCAAAATTTTACATTTATACCCACCGAAAAGCTTGTGACGTAATTTTTTCGATATTTCAATTTTTTATTTTTTGATATTTCGATTACTCGGTCTTTCGATTTCTCGGTTTTTAAATTTTTTGATTGTTCAATTTTTCAATTTTTTCTTTTTAAATTTTTCGATTTTTCAATTTTTCATTTTTTCGGCTTTCAGCTTTCCAATTTTTCCATTTCGGCAATGTTCGAGGTCTTGATTTTCCAGTTTTTTGAGATTTATTGATTTTTCAATTTTTCAATTTTTCAGTTTTCTATTCTTCAATTTTTCAATTTTGGATTTATCCAGTTCTCGATTTCTCGTTTTTTGATTTTTAAAATTTCACATTTTTCGATTTTCAATTTTACGATTTTAGTATTTTCTCATATTTCGATTTTCTGCTTTTAAAATTTTTCAGTTATCAATGTACACATATATATACTGTATACTGGACTTTGTAGTAAAACATATTTATCGTCCCCCTAAAGAAATTAATGACGTCACCTATAAACATCGTTTGGATTTAAAAAAATTTTCATCAACGTTAAATTCCGTCAAATTCTGGGTTGTAATGAACGTTGTGACGGCATCGTTTTCATTTTTCAATTTTTAGATTTTATGATTTCTCGATTTTTCGATTTTTCGACTTCTCGACTTTTCGATTTCTCGATTTTTTCTTTTTCCGGTTTCTTGTTGTTCCAATTCTCCAATTTTTCGACTTTTCGGCTTTTCAAATTTTCGATTTTCCAAATTTTTAATTTATCGAATAATATTAAAATTTTCGATATTTCAATTTTCCCATTTTTTGAAATTTCGAGTTTTCGACTTCTCGGTTTTTAAATTTTTCAATTTCTAATTTTTTTGTTTAATTTTTCAATTTTTCCTTTTTTAAATTTTTGGTGTTTTAATTTTTCAATTTTTCGAGCCTTCAGCTTTTCAAATTTTCGTTTTTCTGAATTTCCAGTATTTTCATTTTTCAATTTTTCATTTTCCCAATTTTTCGACATTTTAATCCTTTGGGATTTTTCGATTTTTTATTTTTTCAATTTTTCTTTTCTTGAATTTTTCGATTTTTATATTTCACATTTTTCGATTTTCAAATTTCCCATTTAACGATATTTCATGTTTCAATTTCCCGATTTTTATTTTTTCTAATTTTCGATTTTTCGATTTTGAAAGTTTTTCAATTTCTCTGTAATGTCTGTCATATGTCTGTAGATTTTTATTAGACATACAGATATAGATAATCTCCGAAACTACTGGACCCATTGTTGTCAAATTTTATATGTACAGGGTGAATCACTAAGCGCGCGTTTTTCGATATCTTATTAATTATTAGAAATAAAAAAAAAGTCAAATACCAAAATTGAACGGTTCTTTGAGGACTATACTCAAAAAATATTTTTAACCATATAGTGTTCTGTTTTCAAGGCGCAATACACAACTTGGTTTTTTTAAAGAAAAGACTGTGTATTTTTACATATTTTAACTGACTTCTTCATAGGCTTTACAACCACAATTAAATTAACATGCGACGTTGCCACGTTATTCCAATTTTCTTGAATCTTTTTAGCATTTCACAAAAAATCACTGTAGAATTATTTTTAAAATCTGTGTTACAACATTTTGTAGAGAGATAAAGAAAAGTGCGCGCTTTGTTGTGCTATAAATGAGATTAAATTTCTGTATACAGAGTGTTCAGAAAAATGTTTTAATGATTATAATTTTCAAATATCGATAATTCGGTTTTTTCGAATAGAACACCCTATATTTTATTATTGCATCTTATTCTATTTTTTTTCTATTTATTTTTAGCTGAGTATTTTCTATATTTAAAGCTGAAATATCGATATTTAAAAATTTTCAAATTCTAATTTTTTTTTTAAACATCTATATATTAAAATTTCATTTAGTTTATACCACAATAAAGCGTGTACCTTTATTTAATCTTCCACAAAGATTGTTAGACAAACTTTAAAAAAATCAAAAAATTTCAAGAAAATTAGAATAACGTAGTAACATCGCATCAGATTTTCAAAAATCCCGCTTAATGACTGTATATTAGGAATATCATCTCAAAATTTTCATATAATAAATATCATTTAAATAAAATAACTCCTATACTTGTGCTTTATGAATCCGCTTTAAATTAAAATCGTCTGGTGGCGTGTCCTGCTCGTAACGCGAAGGTCATAGGTTCGATTACCTTATGCGGATTTTTCCCCTTTCACCCTGATTAGTGTTGATATTTAATTTACAGGGGTTACGATGAAAAAAATAAAATTTCCTAAAATCTAATTTTATAATTTTTCGAAGAACTGGGATTTGTTGGGCTGTACTTTAGGGGCGCTACACAATAATAGCTCAATATAACTCATAATTCACAAGAGCGCTTTGGTGTAATTAATTCAGCAGGGCAAACATTCCCTGTTTTTATATTTTTCTGTCACGCTATGAATTGAATCAATTTATGAATACCGCTTTGATCTGGTTCTGAAATGTTTTACATAGGGGAGCGCGGAACTGACCGGACTTCTTTTTTAGTGAGCATTTGACAGATAATCTTCGAAACTACCGGAGGGGTTGTCGTCAAATTTTGTACGTATATTAAGAATATCATGTAGATTGTATATGATAAAATGCTAACCAAAATTTGGCTAATCAGCCTCACCAGCAATTTGATGACTTCCGCTCTTTATATTTCATAATTAACATTATATAAATTTTATGCAACAATATATTGTGGTTTACGAATCTATCTTGAATTTGTTTATTATTATTATATATATCACGCCCATGGTAAGACGTTAACCAGTTAATCATAGTTTGTCTATCCATGCATTTCAAAGCACTGATGACGTCATCTCAAACTTTTGTCAAGAAGAATCCACTTGAAATTTGTAGCGCGATATTTCAACAATAGTGTCAATAAACTTTGTTGAATTAAATTGCATATACGAGTATAATTTTTTTACAACATAGATAATCGATTTCATTCCAAGTTTGATAAGGCTTTAATATTGGTTTAAAGATTGTACAAATATTGGCTAACATTGATTTATTTGTTGCAGCGGAAAAGTAGATGACGTGTCAAATAAGATTATTGGTAAAATGGTCCAGCTAATTTAGACAGAACTTCTCTTGCCCCTTATAATAACTTTCATCACTTAAAATAAAGATATCTCTGGACTATTTAAGTACAAGCAAATGAGCATGATATCGAATCGTGTAAATAACACTATCGTAGAATTAGACTATTAAGCACGTACAGATAACCAGCATCAGAGTAAGGATTTGTGTTAAAAGAAAATGAAATTTGATTAATTTTGTGGGGTTGTTAGACACAAATATATATAGAATAGATGACTGTTTGTCATGATTAATAAACTCGGATTTTCTCTGGTTATGTGAAAATTGTTATAAAATGTTTCATGTTTTCAGGAAACGATTAAATTGTCATCCCATGAATCATATCGCCTTTATGGTGAAATGTAAATAACGCAGAAACCATTTCCACACTTCATGACCACGACCAGGGAGCTTAATCTGTCCCTCAGTTCTTTGTATTCTAAAACACCCAACCGTATAATGGAAACTAACGGAAATCGTCTCCTTTTCAAAATCTGAGACGATTTAGTTAGTTTAGAAACGGAAACTAACACAGCAAAAAATGAACTTATTTGAGACTGTATATGTTAGAAATATTTTCTTCTTGACTTGTAAACATAATTCAAGGTCAAACAGCTGACATATATGAGAAACATGAATAAACTAGTTTTTTCTTAATAAATACTCTATCAAATGTAGTACAACGCAAATCAGCTGATAAAAATAAACCACAATTTCCTCAAATATTTGCGTTCACAATTTTTATGCAGCAATTTCCTGGTGACGTAATTAATGAATGATGTAAATTTTATTGTTGCAGTAGATTTTAAAAAACAGTAACAATTACAAATCAACCGTTTTTGTTTTTTAACAGAAAACTGTTCGCAGGCCCCCAGCCCCCAGCGCAAGAAGGAGCCCCCACCACGCGAAAACAAACTCCGCCTCTTCCTCAAGAGATCCTCCGAACCGCTTCTAAACCTGCAGAACGCGTCCCAACAGGTACTCACCTTTGACTTAACTCACTCACTTTAACTAAGCTGTATAAAGCTAGAAATAAGTGCTATTTAGTCGTATCAAAAATGCTTACAAAATTTGCAATATTTAACTCGTGGTTTGTATATAGAGAGGGTTCACCCAGCAGCTGGCCCCTATCCAAGAGGTAATCCAACAACACTTCCTCTTCCAAATCTCTCCGATTGTTGCCTGACTGCCTGATTTTCTTTGAGTCAAAGAGCACCCATCCAATTTGCTTAATAATGTCGTAGGCACATTTAGTGACTAGAAATTTTGGCATGAATAGAGTAAAATTTAGACGAATCAGAGAGTTTAGCAGTAAAGTAGAAGATACGTGCATGTTTAACTCGATTTAGAAGCAACCATTTACACGGATTTGAACATACATACAGTTGTTATATTGTATCGATACAGGTGTTGAAGTAGGATGACGATAATGTTGGTGGTACACACTTTTCTGTCGTTCTCATCACGCAGTTACCTCTTTCATCACATTTCTTTTTGTGTACAGTCCAGTTTGGTATTACTACAGTGAACAGTGCAGTTATCATCATATTGTGCATGTTTTGCCACCACCAAGTCACTGCTTGTACAAGATTAAGACGTGTATTTCTCTGTTTAGCCGCCATCACAACAACATCAAACTTTGATCATTGAAGAATTCGAACCGGACGTTTTCAGACAGTTGATTGAGTATATTCATACAGGGTGTGTCACTCTTCAACCACGTACATTACTGGGTGAGTTTCTCAGTCATAGTAAAAATAGTAACTACATATCAAGAACTGAAAATTAAATTTGGCTTTTCGTTCTAAATTTAAAACTATGATTCTTTTAAGGCTTGTATTTCTGCTCCTATGACATAAGTGGTATACGATCTAAGTTTAATTTTAAACCTAGTGTCGTGTCCAATACGGCGTAAAACTCACTACATTTTGTTTAACCCTGAATTTCACAATCAACCTAAAGGTCATTTAAATTTAGAGTGGCTTTAATTCATTTTTAGAACCACACATTTCCACATCAGACGCTCTGTTTTAATTTTAAAGAACTTTAAAATGAACGTGAAAGTGACACTATTACTATTTTAGCAGAAAAAAACTAACATTTATACAAAACCCGATGTGTATTGGTTAGTTTGAAAAATGGTGTCACTGCATTGGCTATGACGTCACTTCGTGGACGTTTTGTTGGTTGCATACAAATTTAGAAAAGCCAAAGGATACTATTGTTACTATTTAACGGAATGACTGTTTGGTGACAATTTGTTTATTTATTTTCTTGTGGTAGGTGTGATGAATGCAGCAGATTATTACGGGTTAGACGAACTCAGAAGAGCTTGCGCTGGTTTCGTTCAGTGTTGCATAAACGTCGACACAGTATGTGCTCTTTTGGCCTCAGCTGAACGCTACATTCAGTATAAATGCACCAAAACACTCGTTCAAAAAGTAAGTTTTCGACACTTGACACATACACTTTCCAAAAATAAGCAACTGATCCCGAAATTCGTAAATAATGCCTTTAATTTTGGCGAAAGGTTTTAGAATTTGTTGACGAACACGGCAACGAGGTTCTCAATTTGGGTTCTTTTACACTTCTACCCCAGCATGTTGTCAGACTGATTTTGGCTAGAGATGAACTCCACGCTGACGAATTTACGAAATTTCAAGCGGCACTTATGTGGGGTAAGTTGTTTCCAGCGATTCTGCACACGTAAATACCAACGCTGCGTATTTGTAGGTAAAAAATATTGTGATAACAACCCCAGTACTAGTTTGAAGGACGTTATAGGTAACTTCTTAGAGTACATTCAGTTCCATAAGATACCAGCAAATGTTCTTATGCGGGAAATACACCCCTTAGGCTTGGTGCCCTACAACATAATTATGAATGCGCTAGCATATCAGGTGCAGTACCCAAAATTTAGGTTTTTATGCGGCATATGCAGCTTTATCGGATTATTTACTTATTTCGTTTCACTTGTTGCGTTGGTGGGATCTAATTATTTGCACCATTTGCCAATTTGCACAGTACGTATTCACACCCCCTGAATTAACCTAGGTTGTGTGGGCGGCGTTCTATCTGAAGCGAGGACAAGTTTTCAGCAGCTGAGTTACAGTTTCAAACTAATTTCTTATTCAGTGGAAATCTGGTGGATGCGCCGGGAGAAGGTTTTGATCAAAATGTGTGACTTTCTAATACTGTATCTATTTTGTTATGCCTTTGGGTTTTACCTACAAGAAATCCGTGCTGCTACAGTATTACTTTATGGTACTGGATCAAAAGTATTAGATCATTTTCTGTTTATTGTCTATAGAGCTTTTTTCTTTTTTACTATCACAAAGTCATATTTGTTGCAGATTCCTTCAAAGCTAAGAGTGCTTACCGCTGATAAACAATTGTTAATCAGGGTTAACATAAACTTTTAAAAGGAACTATTATGTTTACCTGCTAGGTTTTAATATATCTGGAAATTAATACCATTATAAGGGCATGCAAGAATTCTACCTCGCCATACTAAACTAACTGAGTATCCGATTTAAAAATTTATCCATAGAACTAGAAAAGATGATGTTTTTAAGTCAAAAATGACACCTTCCTACATATTGATTACTCCATACTGATCGGATCAGGTACCCGTCCTGAAAATTTGTTCATAAAACTAGAAAGCTTCAAGGAATCCAGTGCTTTAAACCACAATGCGGATTCTTGTGCCTTTTTGGAATTATATCTAATTAAATTTGAAAAAGGCTGCTCTAACTCAAAAATGACATCTTCCTAGATATTGGTCAGTCCATACTAAACAGATCAAGTATGAGATCTGAAAATTTTTTCATAGAATTAGAAAGCTTCAAAAATCGAATTCTTCAAACCCCAATACGTATTATTGTCCCTTGTTGGAGTTATGTCCCGTTAAATTTGAAAAAATTACATCCTTTCTGTATACTTATTTATCTCTACATTCTAAATCGATCCAGTATTTATTAAGATACAGAAAAAAGGAAAAGTTAGGCAATCTTTTTGAAGTTTATTCCTGAAAGAGTCCATGAAGTTATTCCTACAAAATCCGTATTGTTTTTAAATGTGTAGGTATACTGAATTTAAAAAGAACGCCTAAAGTATGAAATTTAAAACACAAAAATTTTACAAACTCTTTTCACTATTTTCAGTTGATTTTTAAATTATTAAAGTTCATGAGATTCTGTCAGGTTGGTAACCTATTCAAAATTTTATGATGGCATACTTGATTGTCAAAATGATATTAATGACAGCTGCCCTCGTCTCAACCAATCAACATATTTGTTAGACATGCCTATGTCAAAATTGACTATTGTGAACTGACGTACTAGCCAATAATTCAGAACTGCCAACCCAAAAATTTGCTTCAATCATTATTAGTCTAACCTAACTTAACTAAAGATTTAAAAAAATAGGAATATTATTTATTTACTCCCGAGTGAGCAATAAAAACACAAAGGCAGTTCTTAATTTTTGAAGATTTGTCTTTGATGAAATTTTCGTTTGTAAGATTAAGGTCAATTTGAAGGTTTAAGTTTAAAATGCTTTCGGTTCAACAAAAAATATTTTTACTGGAAACAGACAAATCTCCAAAATTCCACGGCTGCCTTTGATCGTGTTTTTTTACTTATCTCTCGGTTTGTTATATGCCACATGATCGAAAAAGAGATCGTGTATGTTGGCAACACCAAAGCATTACTCGTTGCGTCGGTCAAATAACTGTCAAATAAAGTCTTAAATAGTAATGCCAACATTATTATGTTAAAAATAAATCTCATAGAGAATTTTTTTTTCGATGATACGGTGCAACATTTTCAGAATTTGTAAAAAATTTTATATTCACATTATTTAATTTAGACAACAACAAAATTTTTTGATATAAATAGTTCCTATTGACAGGTTCGTTGGTGCGTCCGTTCTTGGATTATAGAAAAATTAGAACTACCTATACATTGTCATATAAGTCGATAAAGAAAGAGTAAAGTAATAACTAGTAAAGCGTGTAAAGAGGTATAAGGTAACCGAAGAAAAATGTTGCCACTTCAGTGGGAATCGAACCCGACACCCCCCGCTTGCCGGGCAAATGCCGGTTAGGTATCCTGACTACTAAACCACGAGGCCACTTATCTTTCTTCGCTTACTACTATCTGTGTCGCCATAGAGTTATTAAAGATTATCAAGTTCAAGTGCCTGTCCTTTTTTTTTTATTTTATTTCCGTAAGTTTTTATGAAAATTTGTTTTTTTCCGATAACTTACAACTAATGAATACATTATCCTCTATTTGTAATACGTAATATGTACATGCGCCTATGATGATATGATTTTCCTCCCACCTTAAAGTTAGGTTATGAAATATGTCACGGGTGGGTTTTATAGGCCGTTAACAGATGACGCCATTATAAAATTAAAATATCTTGGCTTTTTCTAACGACAACTTTAACTATTCTTATTAAAACTGGTATAATTTTCAAAATAAGGGTTTGTCTTTATGGATGGTCAATTAAAACATTGTAAATCTATAAAGAACAAAAAAAAAACGTGTTGTAAAATATAAAAACAAACCGATTTTTTTTAAACCGTTTTCTTACATCTCTAAACCTGACTACGTAAAAAATGTTGCAACGTTTCTATGCCCGCGGTTATTTTGGTCTGTTCATCTTCATTTTTTTGTGATAAAAGATAAAACACAATGTGCTAATAAATGATTTATATCTAGTGGGTTTCGAGATGTTAAAAAACCCTTTTTTCTGAAATGAGTTTTTTTTATTGTTTTAAAACGTGCTATTTTGGTGTTTTCTGTTGTTATTATAAGTATTTAGCAGTTTTAATAACATAAGCAGTTAAAATATACTCTTTTCCGTAAACTAACAGGTATTTACTATTTAATATAGTAGCGCCTTTTTTGGGTTTAAATTTGAATGGTTTGAAAGACAACGAAGACTTCAATAACATGCTATCAACATTATAATATCAAAATTTTGAATACAGGTTAGAATAAATAATTTTGTTGATATGTTTTATGGTACAGTTTAACATTTTTATTTTATGCTTATTCATTAAAGATATTTATCAAAAATAAATTTATTTGATTATTTGTGTACTAGTCTAAAATTTCAGAATTTCTGCTCTTTTTAACTAAAACTAACATCAGTCATATCAAACATTTGAAGGAGGTAATAAAAAATAGAGTGCGTCGACCCAGGGACGCACGGATGAAGTTTAAACTCTGGTGTCGGTGTCGGTGTTGGTGTCGAACTCGACATCCTATTCCGGCGCGCTTCGTATACGTGTTCTATAATACGAAAAGAAAGGAATTAAAACTCCAAAAAGAATAAAACAAAAAAAACCGTTTTAAAACAATTAGAACAAACAGTTTTTCATTCACTAACATCTCTAAGTTGGGTATGAAATCCATTTACTAATGTGACGCTTCGTCTGAATTTTTCCTAAATTAATTAATCTGTCACTTAGTTTTCAAATTTTAACGTTTATATATTTTTTTAATTACAAAGGATATGGAAAAATTGAATACTTAATTTCTATAGTTAAAAAACTGTATTTTTCCGAAACCGAATTTTTTTTTGTCAAGTTGTCTTCGCGGCCCTCTGATGTATATAAGTTATTTATTAATGCTCTGTATATTAAAGAAAAGAGTTGTGGATGCAGTCTTTGGATTATAAGGGGTGTTCAATTGAAAAATCACTCAGAGTAGGCGTTGGAATTTTGTCTAACACAAACAAAAACGGCATGTCTGTTCTTATAACATCCACTTGACAGAAACATAACCTGTTATATGTTTTACGTTATAAGAAAAGACATGCCGTGTGTCAAATGATATTCCAACACCTACACTGAGTGATTTTTCAATTGAACGCCCGTTATAAAAATAATACAAATTCGGCGCCATATTCAGGGGAAAAATGACGCGAAATTTAATGTTAATGTACGATGGATTAAGATAATTTACACTAGATGGTTTAATTTAATCTGGAAACTTTTGTTAATGAGTAAAAGAGAGAAATGGAAAATAGATAAGAGGAATGTAGAGACGCAAAAATAAAAAATAATGAAGGTACCAAGAGAAAGGACATAAAACAAAAAATAATTTTAGGTAACTCTTCATACTTGTTCCCAAAAATTACAGATTATTCGGAAATAAAATAATTCTCTTTTAATGATGCTTTTTTTAATCAATCACAAACTTCTAAGGGGTGAAAATAAATTTATGTTTATGATCAAAGAAAACTGAGCAAAAAAGTTCAGTGTAACATAATATGTTGATGTTATCGCCAATAGTAGTAAAAATAAAAGCTTTCAGAAATTAGATGAATTCCTAAGCTCCAAATGCAAAGTCTTTTTTTTTCAATGGCGTTTAGTTAAATTTTTTGGTGGTTTACTATTCATCGATTAAAACAGTGTTGTCTAATTTTGCTACATCGAAAGCAATATTTTTGTCATTTTGATATATAGGTGTGTAAAAAAACAGCTTAAGTCTTCCGCTCATCTATCTCCATTTATCACTTTCTTTTTCCATTAGCATCTTTCTTTTTTGCAATAACCGTTTCTGTATTGTGATATCCTGTATTTGCTTATCAACTCGATAGGTTTTCAGTGGGTTAACATTATCTTCGTCATTTTCCTGTTCAAAGAGCTCAAATTTTGACTTATGTTTTCTTAAAATTTTCATAAACATAATCTCTGATAAGTTACCTAATACCATCTATCCTAATTTGATTCTCTTCTTATTGCTGATTCTTGTTTTCCATATTTGAGTTTGAGATGGTTCTTAGCTATATTTGATGGCAATCACTTCAGTCAGTTCAAGATCACCAGCCCATGTCAAGCGAAGGTGGGGATAGAGCGTCGACCGTCGCAGCGAACCTTAACCAAATTCAAACTTTGTAAGGGTTAATCCTCAGTTCTGTTCTATCAATGTTATTTGTAATTCTGCTTTGTCTTTGACTAAAAGAGGGACACCGTATGAGTATCTGAGCCAGTTTAAACCAGTTTTGGCCCCTTGAAACAATCAGTCAAAGAATAATAACATGAAAACTAAAGTCAAAAAAATTCCATTTCTTTAGTACTTTCACAAACTCATTTAAATTTAAAAATGAGTGTTGTTATTTCAAAAACCCTTATTTGGTTGTTTAAAATTTGCCCCCGTGGCCGCAGCTGCTGAAAATCGCCCGCTTCAGGTAGGACGTCCGCCGGCTGCATGGCATTCGCTTTGGCTTTGGTCGTCGCAACCCCCCCAAAATGGTCAAGCACTATGTGTTGCAGGCAGACCCGGCAAGTATCGACCCCGGAAAGCTGTCACCCAATCGAGTAAGAAGACAAGCCCAGGGTAGGTCGATGTCCGTGCAGAGCTCTCTGGACCCGTACGGTTCCAACACGACGCTGAGCAGCAGCGGCTCCAGCGAGCTGGCTTCTTCGGACGGCAAGCATTCTTCCAACTAACATACGGCCACTGTCGCGCCGCAACCGCAACCGCCCCCTCCGCCGCCCCCTCGGTCGCCCTCCCCCTCCCCGCACCATTTCCCGCACCCGCCCACGGTGACGGTGTCGTCGTCGTCGCCGTCCTCCACGCCGCAATCCTCCCCCGCGCACACCTTCACCTTCACCATCGTGCTCAAGAAGGTCACCCCTAAGGAGTAAGGTCTTAGGTTTATCGTTGCCAAAGAGTCGGTGTACCTAGATTTAGCAATATCTAAGCTGAAGAGTTAGTTTGATCTTGTGATATCCGGTCGTAACAGACAATCCTATGCACTTGTTCCAACAGGACTTGCATGAAGATATTCGTTGTTGAAGTTATCCATATCAGATATTTGTTGATTATTTTTTGAGTAACGTCTTACCTCTCATACCTTTGGTCAAAATTCCACACCAAGAGTACCTAGACATCCCAGTGTTGAGGCGCAACAGTGGCTTGAATTTTGTTCGAAATATTGTTTTTGTGTTATTTGTAAGACAGAGCTTATGTATGTGTTAAGATATTGTTGTATTGTAAAAAAAGTATTTATCAGACAGTTGACGAAATTTACTGGTGGCGGTTAGCATGGTTAAGGTCATATTTTCTCAGGCCTTATTTACCTCAGACAAATACTTACCTTGCAACCGACAACAGAGAACATCTATAATTCATCTGTTAAAAACAAGAACACGAACTACCACAGCCTCTGTGGTAATTCGTGCTCTTTTCTTAGCGTTAAAATGCCATTATTTATAATAATATATACAAAATAAATGAAACAATTAAACAGCCAAACGAAAAGCAATGTAAACCACGTGCAATATTTAATTTGTGTTGTATGAAATTGTTTGTAACGGTATTTACGCTGTGTTGCAGCTATATGTAAAGTAAAGGAACCATTTTCAAAGTCAGTTAGTTTTTTGGCGCATTTTCTGCAGTTGGTAACACCAGACGAAAAATTGGTGTGTTAATGTTACTCCTGTTGGCACTAAATTAACAATTATCGTTAAAAATGGTCCCTTTAAAAATGTCTCATTGTGTTCAAACACCCTTGTACCATATTAAACAGTGAAATTTTGCTCTTGATCAACAATTTATCAAAAGCTTGATAAATATGTTTGTTTTAATTATGTCGCCTACGCATTTTGCGAACAAAAATAATTACATATTAAAAGTTATCGTAACATTCAACATCAGTTTTATTGTTCTTTGTTGTTTGATTTGTATTCTTTTTCTACCTTTGTCAATATTATTATGCAGCAATACGCGCTAATACTAAGACTATGCAGTGTACAAGTTAGTCACAGATTCTGCCAAAAATATTTCAATGTGGTATTTAAGCATTCATAAGCGATAAAATTGGAATGTGAGAGATAAATCAGAATTCTAGCGACCTTGTTACCATTTAACTGTGGATCTATACACTATATTCGTTTAATTTAGTTGCCAATGAGTTATGACTTCTGACACATACAGTTTGAACCTTGAAATACTAAAATTTACATTGTGCCCTTCAGAATTCATAACAGTGGATGCAATATAGAAACGACTTTATTAAAAGTGCAGTGAAATATATGTTGGAAATTTTGTTATATGTTATTATGTTATGCAGCCTTATTTAATCATTCTTAGATGTCGGTTATAAACTGGATGTTGTTAATAGAAGATAAACATAATAATAAAATAACAAAAAATGTAATGCATGTTAAAATAAAAAGATTGGAAGGCATCTTTCAACTCGTTAAAATGTTTTGACCAAATAATCAATTGTATATGTGGGCTAAGATGTTATAAATATATTTATTTACTTAAGGTTTTTTGATTTTTTCAATAACACTCCAGAATCCTGTTTAACGTATGAATTTAAGTGGCTACTTATGGTTATCGTTGTTTAGTATTCGTTGGTTCACTCTATATATTTCTAAATTTAAACTTTGCCGCCATCGAGTGACAGATGCCAGCATCCGTAGATGCCGCTGGTCGCGTCGATTATAAAATCCTCGCAAAAAACCTGCCATTGACGTATCAATAATCAAATAATGAATGAAATTATAAAATTGTGATAACAGCGTTTTGTGATAACACTCGCTTTCCTTGTGATGCATCGAATTCGTGCCAAATTCGACCGTATTTGTTGAGACGAAGATGACAGTTGAGCCAAATCGTAGTTAACCATGATGTGACAGTGCAATCAAAACGAAGTTTTCTTCTTACTCTTATTTTTTTTAGGTAATAGCTCATTGTTTTCCTTATCACTTCCTGGCTGTTTATCACCTACTTGCCTATCAAATTAGCTGTAATGTGGAATACCCGCTTTCATTCTAGTTCTCCGTAATGCTGGGACTAACAGTTTTCGAAAATGGACATAGTGGAAAGCGTATCAAAAAGGACGTTTAGTGGTTCCAGTGGCACTTATAATGTACAAGCGTTAGAGCTGGCAGCGGCACGGGAACGTAATAAATTGAAGGGGTTTAATGTCATTGTGCATTTCCTCGATGAAACTGTGCAGGAATTTACCGTTGACAAGAGGAGCAAGGGAAGCTTCATCATGGAGCAAGTTTATCAGCATTTAGAGCTTGTGGAGAAGGACTACTTCGGGCTACAGTATTCAGACAATGGGTGCGTTCCTAATGTCAACAAACCGGAACTTATGGTATGAGAGTCACATTTGTGTAATCAAAGCAACTAATTTTTGTTTGCAGCGTTGGTTAGATCCGTCCAAGCTAATCAAGAAGCAGCTAAACAACTGCCAGTATCCATTATATTTTAGAGTTAAGTTTTATGTGTCCGATCCAAGTAAATTACAAGAAGAGTATACACGTTATCAATTTTGTCTACAAATCCGTCGAGATATTTTAGAAGGAAGATTAGTTTTAGCTCCTAGCACTGCCATTCTTTTAGCTAGTTACACGGTTCAAGGTGAGAAGTTGCCTTCGTGATTATTATTACTTGTTTTATTAATTTTGGGGTTTTAGCTGAGTTAGGTGATTATCAGCCTGAAGAACATGGGCCCAATTATTTATCAAATTTACAACTTATCCCAGGACAATCAGAAGATATGGAGAGAAAAATCGCCGAACTTCATAAGCTACACAAGTATGTATCAAATGTCAATATATTATTATCAGACACTAGAAATAGGCGTGGAAAAATGAATGTTCAATGTCAGTCATTTTTGTGTAATTTCATTTCTTATCAGTTTATTTACAGTTCCCTTGTATGTACTTCTTTGAAGTTTACAATTTTTATGTTTTTAAATATTTATTAAGATAACATTTTTTCATGTTTGATGTATGGATAAGGTCAAAGATCTAATTTAAATTGCGTTTTTCGAAAAATTCATCTCTGTATTGCGTTATCAATAACAACTTTTTTTAAAATCAGAATGTCCATATGCAATTATATTTATTATCCCGTTTGTGTCATAGTACCTAATTAAATCAGATGACGTGAAACCACACTGATACGAATAGGAAAGTTTAAAACACCAACGTTTTCCGTCGTTGGTTTCCTGTTGCAGTGACGGAAATTTTATTAAAGCGGAAAAATGGAATAAAGTAAATACAGATTAATGCTTACTTCCGTAATGATATCTAAATGACGTAGTAAATTAGGGTGATTTTCCAAATGACTAGTTGGACTAGACGTGGGAAATACACTTTGAGGTTCTTCCGGTTCCGTCTGTCTGTCTGTCTGTCTGTCTGTCTGGTGTCTGTATCCATTTTTATTACATAAGTAATCTCCGAGCCTGCTGGACCGATTGTTGTCAAATTTTGTATTTATATTACCAATATCATGTAGATGGTTAAACGCTGACTAAAATTTGAATGACGTCATCTCCAAAATTTATAATAAAAAGTTTTTGTTTTAATTGTATAGAATAAGATACTCCTGCACTTGTGTGTGAATCCGTGTCGAATTTTCACCCTAGACATTCAGAATTTTTGGAAAAAATTTAAAACTGAATAACAATATTTTGCAATATAACTTTGAAACTGCAAATCCGAGTGCCCTGAAATCTTGCAAATATTTTAAGGTTATCGTAATCATGGTAAATCGCAAAATTTATTCGCTAACCCCCTTCCAAAAAATTGATGACGTGATCTCAAAATTTTACCGAATAAATCCTATCCAAATTGTGCAAAATATGATTAGTCTATATAGTCTTATACAGGGTGGCTTATTAAAGGGCTATCATAAAAAATAAAATTCGCAAAATCAAATCTTACAACTTTTTGAAAAAGCTGGATTTGTTGTACTTTCCTTCAGGGGCGAGGGAAGTTCTGTAAAAGTAACCTTCGACCAATTCTTAATGTTGTAGGCAGTAGTCTGAAGCTAATTATAAATTTATTATGATACATATTTTGTCCATATAAACGCAGTTTTTTTATATATATGATATGTGTAGTAAAAACATGTTCCTATTTCTCTAATATTTACATAATTGATAAGATTATCTTTAAAACTGATGGATTGTTAAATCTTCAACTTTAAGTTGAAAGAATTCGTCATGATATAATCTATCATTAATACCTCTGTAATACTCTTATCTACTTAGTGGCCGAAACAGCGGCTCAAATTCTAGAGGTCGTATTTAAAAAATATCGAACTCTATACAGGGTGTCCCAGAATTCGCGCCATTCCCGTGAATGACATGTTCCCTGTCCCGAACTGTGCCGTAATTCGCAAAAAGAATTGTCCAGGCTTTAACCGTGTGAGAACTGGAAGGCGATTAAGTTGACCAATAGAGAGGCTGCTTTTATATCCGAACGTTTCTATGTTGAAAGTTACCTATGCCAAGAACAAAAAGTCGGGTAATACTAAAGTTGAATGATTTTTTTCCGAATCCCCCTCCGTCAACAAAAGGAAACAGAAGTGTGGTTATAAATTTAATCATTTTGACAATTGTTTGTCATAAACTGTCACGAAGTTCATCACTGACCTGAAGAGACGCTTCTGCGCCAAAGATGACTGATTAATGTACACAGAGACATCAACGTTTACTTTAAGGCAAGTAGCATGGGACAGAAGTTATTCCTGCTGCCATTCTAGTTAAATTGTGTTTAACTGGGCTGTACATGTCATAAGAGAAGCTGTTTCATTTCATCGTAGGCAAATAATACATTTATTACTATTCTACATAGAGTAGCTACCGAAGAGCAGGTATTAGAAGTCATTTTCTTAGAACCCCGTGAATAATCGTCGGCACCCAGACCAACAAGTGTTTCACCGATTGTTACATCGAGCAAGAGAAGATGGATCTTTTCAACCTAGTCGGAAAGGCCGTGCTGGGGCTCCACGGAATGTACGTGTGGGTGCTGAAGAGCAAGTGTTAGAAAACATGGAAGCGGATCCTAGGAGAAGTGTCCTCTATGTAGCGCAAATGAGTGGATGCTCAATCGACCACTCATCGTATCCTTCAAGAGAGAATACTGCATCCTTACCATTACACGAGAGTGCAGCATCTGCGACCAACCGACTACCCGCGACGAGTACATTTTGCTCAATGGTTTTTGCGACAAAATGAACTAAATCCTGATTTTTCACGGCGCATTCTTTTCACCGACGAATGTTCATTTTCCCGAGAAGGAATGTTTAATGCACACAATTGGCACTTCTGGGCACACGAAAATCCACATCTCACTAGGGTGAGAGCGTATCAGGAGCGATTTACTATTAATCTATGGGCTGGAATCATTGGTACCACTGTGGTAAAAATTTTAATGCAACTGATAAAATTATCACTAAACTCCGTTCCTGTTTTTTAGGTGGGGCCGTTTGTGTTACCTGATCGCCTTAATGGGGAAGCATATGCTAATTTTCTACGACTAGAACTTCCGGCGTTGTTGGAAGACGTTCCTTTGAATGTACGGCGGAATATGTGGTTTCAGCACAACGGCGCTCCTCCACATAATTCGATACTTGCACGGCGAACATTGAAAAGAGTCTATCCTCATAGGTGGATTGGGCGTGGCAGTACTATCATCTGGCCTCCTAGATCTCCAGACCTTTCTCCTTTGGACTTTTTTTTTTAATTAAATTAAAAATTACGTATATAGAGAACCCCTAGATACGTTAGAAGAACTGGAAGACTGCACGAAGCCTACGCTACAGTTACTCCTGAGATGTTAAATAATATACAACACAACATAATGCGACGAGCTAGAACTTGCATTGAAGTTAATGGTGATCATTTTGAGCACATTGTTTAATAACGTTACAGTACAACGATTCCGGCCCATAGATTAATAGTATTGCTCTTGATATGCTCTCACGTTAGCTAAATGTGGATTCTCGTTTGCCCAGAAGTGCCAATTGTGCGCATTAAATATTCACATGCTGGTCAAGGAGCCGATGATTGGGAAAAAGACCTGTATATTCGCGCACAGCAGTGGCTGCATAGCGTTTACTTTCTCCATAAATTAACATCATTTCCAAATATTCTTTATACTAGTATGAAGAAGACATCAGTGACTTAGTGATATTGGTAATGATTTGTTTATAGTTTGTATTGTTCTTAAAAAAAAAATGCAACTAAACGATTTTTGTTATAATTTTTATTCGTATCTTTTCTCTCTCTAGGAAAGTACTCGCACCTTTAAAGAAACTGTTTTAAATCATCATGTGCAACATCAATATTATTCTTGAATAAGTCTCCGTTTTCAGTATCTCCCCCACATGATTGACACCACAGCAGATACCTCTGATCTCAATACACCAGAGAAGTGGAGTCTCGTCTCTTTTTCGTTGCTTAGATTAGGTATCAACAACAAAGCTGTTCAGTAAAAATTGATACCTACTCTTTATTGAAAATTATAAGCACCGATTAATCAAAAGCGATATTTATGTTTTAGTACTCTTAATAACGTTCTTTGAATGGACATGTGGTACTCTTTTTTAGAAATAACGATAAACTTAATATCAGGGACACGATGCATAGTGAATTCTGTAAATGTACTAATTTTCATTTAAAAGAACAACACATTATTCACGGGGCTCTAAGAAAATGACTTCTAATACCTGCTCTTCGGTATCTACACTATGTAGAATAGTAATAAATGTATTATTTGCCTACGATGAAATGAAACAGCTTCTCTTATGGCATGTCCAGCCCAGTTAAACACAATTTAACTAGAATGGCAGCAGAAATAACTTCTGTCCCATGCTACTTGCCTTAAACTAAACCTTGATGTCTTTGTGTACATTAACCAGTCATCTTTGGCGCAGAAGCGTCTCTTCAGGTCAGTGATGAACTTCGTGACAGTTTATGACAAACAATTGTCAAAATGATTAAATTTATAACCACACTTCTGTTTCCTTTTGTTGACGGAGGGGGATTCGAAAAAAATTCATTCAACTTTAGTATTACCCGATTTTTTGTTCTTGGCATAGGTAACTTTGAACATAGAAACGTTCGAATATAAAAGCAGCCTCTCTATTGGTCAACTTAATCGTCTTCCAGTTCTCACACGGTTAAAGCCTGGACAATTCTTTTTGCGAATTACGGCACAATTCGGGACAGGGAACATGTCATTCAGGGGAATGGCGCGAATTCTGGGACACCCTGTATAGACACAACGAGGGTTAATCATTCTTTTTTTAACTTTCTTTTTAAATTACGAAAATATAATGCATATTATAGCGTTTTTAAATGCAGTTTAAATCAAAATAAATTGAACACTGACAAGAATAAAATATAACGCTAATTTTCTTCTGAATATTTATTTGTTTCCTAGCATAAGCTTAAAATTTTTGCATAGTAAATGCTATGTAAATTTTATAAAATAACACACCCCTAAACTTGTAGTTTATGAATCTGCTTCGATTTTTTTTTAACTTGGGGGGTTATCGTAAAAAAGTCAAATTCGCGAAGTTAAATTTTATAATTTTACTATACGGGTGAGGAAGATCTATCTAATACCCTAGACCATTTTCTGCATTTTAAGAACAAGTACTACGGATTTTTTAATGATTTTTGATTTTTTTAAATCCGATTTTGGTTCCAACCCAAGAAAATGTGTATGTTGTTATGAGTTAAATTTTATTTTGTCAAATTACATTATTTAAAGTGAGCTCAGCGATTTCTTTATCTTATTATTTTACGATTTCTGGGTTTTAGATTTTTCAGTTCTTCGATTTTTCAGTTCTTCGATTTTTCCATGTTTCAATTTTTCGACGTCTAGATTTTTCAGCTTTTCCAGTTTTCGATTTTCCAATTGTTCAGTGTTTCAATTATTCAGTTTTTTTATTTCCCAATTTTTCCACTGTTCCGTTTGTCGATTTTTCAGTTTTTAAAATTTTTGATTTTTCAATTTCTTGTTTTATCGAGATTTCGACGTTTCGATTATTAAATTGTTCAATTTCCCTATTCTGGAAATTCAATTTTTCACTTTTTCGATGTCTCGATTTTACGACTTTTCAATTTTCCAATTGTTCAATTTTCCAATTGTTCAATTTTCGAGTTTTCTATTTTTTGATTTTTCCATTTTTCTGCAATTTTTCGATTTATGGATTTACGAATTTTTCAGTTTTGGGTTGCTTCAACTTTTCGATTTTTTAAATTTTAGATTTTTCAATTTTCAATTTTTTAATTGTTCGAATATTTTAATTGCTTTTCCAATTTTTTGGAACTTCCGATTTCTCAAACTTTTTATTTTATGATTTCTCGTTTTCAGATTTTTCGGTTTTTCAATTTTCAAATTTTCTGATTTTTCGTAAGCGAAGTAATCGAGTCCGCCGGCCGACTCTCTAGTTTTACGTTTTCTCGATCTTTCATGACACCTACAGTTTCGAAGAAATAGGTCTCCCGTTTCCGTCTGTCTGTCTGCCATCCCGGATTTTTATTAGACAGATTATATCCAAAAGTACTGAACCGATTGTTGTCAAATTTTGTATTTATATTAGGAATATCATGTAGATGGTAAAACACTAACCAAAATTTTTCTAATCATCGCCACCAATAATATGATAATAATGGGTTTTAAATTATTTGAAATAATATAGTCCTACACATGTATTTTATGATTCCGTATTGAGTTTTTACCCGAAACGTCCAGATTTTTGGAAAAACAAATCAAAATTATGACAACATTTTGCGATTTAATTTCGAATCTGCAAAACCGAATGCTTTGAAATGTTAAGCATGGGAAATTTTTGATCAAAATGTATTTGCTCATCCCCCTAAAAAATTAATGACGTCAAATGTTCATTTCCAATATCATAGATCTAGGGAAAAACATACGACTTGTTTTTATGTTTATTATTGTGTGAGCATATTAATTTTACAGATTCTCCAGTTTTCGATTTTATGATTTTTCAATTATTCCATTTTTTGCTTTGTTAGTTCTCCGATTTTACAATTTTTTGAGTTTTAATTTTTTAGTTTTTTAATTTTTCAATTTCGTGTTTTTATTTTTCAGCGAAAGAACACATTTATCTATACTAAAATATGGGAAAATCGGAAAATTATATCATTGAAACAATGAAGAATACAAAAATTTTAAAATGAAAAATCCAAAAATTTCAACATGAAAATCGAAAAACAAAAAATCGAGACACGAAAAATTGAAAAATTGTAAAAAAATGGAAAAATTAAAAATAAAATTGCAAAATCGAATAATTGAAAGATTGGAAGAACGAAAAAATAAAAAATACCGAAATTGAAACATCAAAAAATGGAAAAACGAAACAATTCTGTAATTTTTCGATGTAAAATTTTTCAAATTCTCGATTTTTCTTTTTTTAATTGTTCAACAAAAGGACAAATTTATTCAAACTGAACTTTTGAAAAACCGAAAAATTCTAACACTGAAACATCAAAAAACAAAGTAATTAAAAATCGAGAAATTGAAAAAATCAACAAAAAAAATGTTTGCAGTTCTTCGATATAAAATTTTTCAAATTCTCAAGTTTTACTTCTCTATTTTCTCGATGTTTCATTTTTTAATTGTTCAATAAAAGGACAAATTTATTCAAACCGAAATTTTGAAAAATTTAAAAATTGGGAAGTCGAAGAATTGAAAAAATAAAGAAAAATTGAAAAAACCGAAAAAATGTGAAAAATTGGAAAATCGAAAAATGAAAAAATTGAGAAATTGCACAATAGGATAATTGAAAAAACAATTGAAACATCGAAAAATTGTAATATTGAAACCTGAAAACCCTGATTAATTAAAAGGCGAGAAAGTGAAAAATTGAAAAAACGAAAAGCAAAATCTTCTATAAATTACATTATCAAAAATACAAAAAAAATTTATTTCAAAATACAAAAATTTTAATATGAAAACCGGAAAACTAAAAAATTAAGAAATTGCAAAAACGAAACAATGAAATGCCGAAAAATTTAAAAGTTGATAAATCGAAGAATTGAAAAAATACAGAAACTGAAAAATCGGCTAATGGAAAAGCCAAGAATTGTACAATTGAATAGTAAAAACCTTAATAATTATTTGAAAAAAGTGATATATTAAAAATGAAACATTTACAAAATTATAAATTAAAAAAAAATTAAAAATGGAAAAATTGAAAATCGATATAAAATTTTTCAAATTCTCAAGTTTTAATTCTCTATTTTCTCGATTTTTCACTTTTTAATTGTTCAATGAAAGGACAAATTTATTCAAACCGAAATTTTGAAAAATTTTAAAATCGGAAAATTGTACATTGAATCCTCTCAAAATTACAAAATTAAAAAAATTAAAAATTGAGAAGTCGAAGAATTGAAAAAATAAAGAAAAATTGAAAAAACCGAAAAAATGAGAAAAATTTAAAAATTGAGAAATCGAAAAATGAAAAAATTGAGAAATTGAACAATGGGATAATTGAAAAAACAATTGAAACATCGAAAAATTGTAATATTGAAACCTGAAAACCCTGATTAATTAAAAATCGAGAAAGTGAAAAATTGAAAAAACGAAAAACAAAAACTTCTATAAATTACATAATCAAAAATACAAAAAAAAAAATATTTTAAAATGAAAACCGGAAAACTAAAAAATTAAGAAATGGTAAAAAAGAAACATGAAAAATTTTTAAAAATGTAACATCGAAAAAACGAAACAATGAAATGCCGAAAAATTTAAAAGTTGAGAAATCGAAGAATTGAAAAAATACAGAAACAGAAAAATCGGATAATGGGAAAGCCAAGAATTGTACAATTGAATAATAGAAACCCTAATAATTATTGGAAAAGAGTGAAAAATTAAAAATTGGCAAATTAAAAATGAAACATTTACAAAATTGTGAATTTGAAAAAAAAAAATTCAAAATGGAAAAATTGAAGAAATAAAAAATTGAAAATCGATATAAAATTTTTCAAATTGTCAAGTTTTAATTCTCTATTTTCTCGGTTTTTCATTTTTTAATTGTTTAATAAAAGGACAAATTTATTCAAACTGAAATTTTGAAAAATTTTAAAGTCGGAAAATTGAACATTGAATCGTCTAAAAATTACAAAATTAAAAAAATTAAAAATTGAGAAGTCGAAGAATTGAAAAAATAAAGAAAAATTGAAAAAATTGAGAAAATTGAACAATGGGATAATTGAAAAAACAATTGAAACATCGAAAAATTGTAATATTGAAACCTAAAAACCATGATTAATTAAAAATGGAGAAAGTGAAAAATTGAAAAAACGAAAAATAAAAACTTTTATAACTTACATAATCAAAAATATAAAAAAAAAATAATTTCAAAATACAAAAATTTTAAAATGAAAACCGGAAAACTAAAAAATTAAGAAATTGTAAAAACGAAACATGGAAAAATTAAAAAAATGTAACATCGAAAAAAGGAAACAATGAAATGCCGAAAAATTTTAAAGTTGAGAAATCGAAGAATTGAAAAAATACAGAAACTGAAAAATCGGATAATGGAAAAGCCAAGAATTGTACAATTGATTAAAAGAAACCCTAATAATTATTTGAAAAAAGTGAAAAATTAAAAATCGGCAAATAAAAAATAAAACATTTACAAAATTGCAAATTAAAAAAAAAAGTTAAAAATGGAAATATTGAAGAAATGAAAAATTGAAAATCGATATAAAATTTTTCAAATTCTTAAGTTTTTATTCTCTATTTTCTCGATTTTTCATTTTTTAATTGTTCAATAAAAGGACAAATTTATTCAAACCGAAATTTTGAAAAATTTTAAAATCGGAAAATTGTACATTAAATCGTTTAAAAATTACAAAATTAAAAAATTTAAAAATTGAGAAGTCGAACAATTGAAAAAATAAAGAAAAATTGAAAAAACCGAAAAAATGAGAAAAATTTAAAAATTGAAAAATCGAAAAATGAAAAAATTGAGAAATTGAGCAATGGGATAATTGAAAAAACAATTGAAACATCGAAAAATTGTAATATTGAAACCTGAAAACCTTGATTAATTAAAAATCGAGAAAGTGAAAAATTGAAAAACGAAAAACAAACACTTCTATAAATTACATAAGCAAAAATACAAAAAAAATTACTTTCAAAATCCAAAAATTTTAAAATGAAAACCGGAAAACTAAAAAATTAAGAAATTGTAAAAACGGAAGAATGAAATGCCGAAAAATTTAAAAGTTGATAAATCGAAGAATTGAAAAAATACAGAAACTGAAAAATCGGATAATGGAAAAGCCAAGAATTGTACAATTAAATAATAAAAACCCTAATAATTATTTGAAAAAAGTGAAAAATTAAAAATCGGCAAATTTAAAAATGAAACAACTACAAAATTGTAAAATTTAAAAAAAAATAAAAATGGAAAAATCGAAGAAATGAAAAATTGAAAATCAAAAATTGAAAAAATTGGCTAACTGAAAATTGGGTAACGAAAAAAGCAATTAAAAAATGGAACAACTGACAAAAAGATAGAAACTGTAAAATCGATTACCTGAAAAAGTGGTAAATTAAAAATCAAGGAATTGAAAAATCGAAAAGACGAAAAATTGTAAAATTCAACAGATAGAAAATCGAAAAATTAAAATATCTACAAATTAAAAAATCGAAAAATACAAAAAGTTTACAGAAAAATCCAACAATTTCATAATGAAAATCGAAAAACTACGGGACGGTGCGGAAATTAATGTATGCTTGGCATTTGCCAAAATCAGTCTTATCTGAGCAAGTACTAGCCCCGCCCACCCGCCCTTATTTTCTCAGAGGATATGTCATTTGACAAAATAACTCTTATCTTAACCTCTGAGAAAATAAAGGGCGAGTGGGCGGGGCTAGTACTTGCTAAGATAAGACTTATTTCGGCAAATGACACATCCTCTGGGAAATAATGGTAAATCATGGAATTCATTTTTAAAATAATGAGTCATTTGACAGTTTCTTGAGCGCAGGATCCTTATATTTAGGAAAATGTGAACCTTGAACAACAATCTTATAAGTAGTTCTTACAAGTATTTTCCATTATTTTGTGGTTCATACACACACGGGTGTTGATGTCCTCGATTTATAAAAACTTACTGATTTTGTACTTTATTTAATGTTGTTTTACACTCCACTTGTGTCCATTTCCAGAGGACAGTCTCCCGCGGAGGCAGAGTTCAACTTCCTAGACCACGCTAAAAGAATCGACATGTACGGAATGGAACTCCACAAAGCTAGGGTAAACCTCTCCAATTCCAATCTTACCATCTCTCTACTTACCATTTTTACAGGACAATACTAATAGGGAAATCCAACTAGGCGTAACCCATATAGGCTTGGTAGTTTGTCAAAACAACCTCAAAATAAACACATTCTCCTGGTCCAAAATCATGAAGATCTCATTCAAACGCAAACAATTTTTCATCCAATTAATCCGCGAATTAGTAAGTCCACCCCTAGCAACCCCTCTTCTTTACTAATTTCTCTCCAGTCCGAAGATTACGACACCCTCTTAGGCTTCAACATGGAGTCATACCGATCATCCAAGACGCTGTGGAAAGCATGCGTCGAACATCACACGTTCTTCAGGCTAGACTCGCCGAAAGTGAAACGAAAATTCCTGTTTTCGTTGGGCTCAAAGTTCACCTACTCCGGCCGGACCGAGTTCCAGACGGTATCGGACGTGAAAAAGCGAGGAAAACTCGAACGAAAATTCGTTCGGTCGCCTAGCAAACAACTGGTAAGTGGAGGAAATGTTTAAGCGACGCTGTTCGAGTTTTTAAAATTAGATAAAACAGCCTGGCCAAGCGCCTTCGGTCGAGGAAAAGGGGAAGGTTCTGTCGGCGCCGGGACGGCCCCCGAGGCCCTATGACAATAAGGTGACGTCGCTGGGAGCGAAAGAGCCGAGGAAGGCGTGGGCGGACGATTCGCAGATGTCTGATGAGTAAGTAGAAAGATTTCGTGAAAGGTTGGCATTAATCATGGATTTGATTTAGTTGGTTAAATTAGTAATGTGTAATGATTACATTAAAGTTCAGTGTCTATTGCGGTCAATGTTAAAAAGTTATAACATTATTTGAAAATTTGTCGGAGTGACGCAAAAATCGCTAGTGGTTTGTACAACAGGTTATATTGAAGATGGGCCTTAAATTTTTGTCTATAGGTTGGTACCAAATCAAACATCTAGCTTTACAATATTGGTATGTAAAACGTTAATTAATTAATATCTCTGGATTGATAACGAGTAATGGTTAATTTATTATTATATTATTATTATTGTTATTAATGAGTCTTTCTGAATATACAAAAAAAATAAATAAAAGAAATATATCAAAGAACAGCAGCGAAAGCCAGCAATATTTTTAAAGTAGGGCTTTTAAAAAAGGGGCGGAATTTGCATTTGACGTCATAGCGAAAACCAACCGATTCGTGCAGTTAAACTCAAAACTCGACATAAAAAAATCCTGATTACTGTTTCGGGTTTGAGTGAAACTGTTTGCGATTTTTGTTTTCTGATAACCTAAAGTAAAAACCAGTGGCGGAGCCTTAAATTCCAAAGTCCGTACAAGTGTGAACAATATGACATGTATTTAAAAATGCTTTTCCAAAAATCGAAAAACTGAAAACTCGGGAAATCGAAAAATTGAAATATCGAAATGTCGATAAATCGCACAATCGAGCGATCGAAATATCCAAAAATCCAATATGTATATGTAAAACTTAAAAAATCGAAAAAACGCAAGAACAACCGAGAAATCTCAGAACATAGAAAAAATAAAAATTGAGAAATTTTAAATTAAAAAAATCGGTAAATCGAAAGATCGGGAAAATTAAGAATAAAAAAATCGAACCATCGAAATCTCGATAAATCTAAAAATTTAAAAACCGAAAAATTGGAAAATCTAAGTCAAAAATTTTTAAAATTGACAAATTGAAAAATGGAAAAATTGGGACATCGAAGTCGAAAAATCGAGAATTTGAAAAAAGAAGAAATGGTTTGATTAAAAAATTGAAAAATCCAAAAGCCAAAAAATCGATTATTCGCGAAATCAAGAAATCGAAAAAACAAAAAATCGAAAACTCGAGAATTCGAAAAATTAAAATGTCGAACAATTGAAGAACCGATAAATTGAAAAATTGAGAAATCGAAACATCAGAAAGATCGGAAAATAAAAAAATCGAAACATGAAAAAAATCGAAAAGCCTGTAATTTAAAAAAATCGAAAAATTGTGAAGAATCGAAATATTGAAATCTCCCAAAACTGAAATATTAAAAAGTGATAAAAATCGAATAAAAATTGAAGAATTGAGTAATTGAAAAATTAAAAAATCGAGAAATCGAAATCAGAAAATCGAGAATTTAAAAAAATCGAAAAAGTGAAAAATCGGAAAATTGATAAATCGAGAAGTCGAGAAATCGAAATAAAAAAACTGAAAAATTCGAAAAAATTAAATATAGAAAAATTGAAATATCGATAAATTGTAAAATAATGAAATCGAAACATCAAAAAATGGAAAAATTGAAAAATCTAAAAAGTAAAAAATCGAGTTATCGAAAAATTGAAGAAACGAAATATTGAGAAGTCCCAAAACTGAAATATGGAAAAATTGATATATCGAAATGTCGATAAATCGGAAGATCGAGCGATCGAAATATCAAAAAAACCAATATATGTAAAACTTAAAAAATCTAAAAAACGCAAGAAAAACTGAGAAAGCTCAAAACATCAAAAAATTAAAAATTAAAAAAAAACGGTAAATCGAAAAATCGGGAAAATGAAGAATAAAAAAATCGAAGCATCGAAATCTCGATAAATCGAAAAACTTAAAAATTGACCAATTGAAAAACCGAGAAGTCGCAAATTGAAAAATCTAAAAAGTAAAAATTGAAAAGTCGAAATATTAAAAAATTGGGAAATCGAAGTCGAAAAATCGAAAATTTAAAAGAAGACGAAAAAGAAGAAATGGAAAGATCAAAAAATCGAAAAGTCCAAAAGCCAAAAAATCGATTCGTCGAGAAATCAAGAAATCGAAAAATTGAAAAAAATTCAAAAAAAACGAAAAATAGAAACATCCAAAAACTGTTAAATCGAAAACTCGAGAATTCGATAAATCTAAAAATTAAAATGTCGAACAATTGAAGAATCGATAAATTGAAAAATTGAAAAATCCAAACATCAGAAAGATCGGAAAATTAAAAAATCGAAAAATCTAACATTGAAAATTTCGAAAAAATTAAAAATAGAAAAATCGAAGAACTGATAAATCGAAAAATCGAGAATTCCAGAAATCTAAATTTTAAAAAATCGAAAGAATTAGATATCGAATAATTGAAGAATCTATAAATTGAAATATTAAAAAGTGATAAAAATCGAATAAAAATTGAAGAATTGAGAAATTGAAAAATTAGAAAATCGAGAAATCGAAATCAGAAAGTCGAAAATTAAAAAAAAATCGAAAAAGTGAAAAATCGAAAAATTGATAAATCGAGAAGTCGAGAAATCGAAATAAAAAAACTGAAAAATTCGAAAACATGAAGTATAGAAAAATTGAAGAATCGATAAATTGTAAAATAATGAAATCGAAACATCAAAAAATGGAAAAACTGAAAAATCTAAAAAGTAAAAAATCGAGGTATCGAAAAATTGAAGAAACGAATTATTGAAAAGTCCCAAAACTGAAATATGAAAAAAATCGCAAGATCGAGCGATCGAAATATCAAAAAATCGAATATATGTAAAACTACAAAAATCTAAAAAACGCAAGAAAAACTGAGAAATCTCAAAACATCAAAAAATTAAAAATTGAAAAATTTTAAATCGACAAAAATTGGTAAATCGAAAAATCGGGAAAATGAAGAGTAAAAAAAAAGCGAATCATGGAATTCTCGATAAATCGAAAAATTGAAAAACCGAGAAGTCGCAAAATTGAAAAATCGAAAAAGTAAAAATTGAAAAGTCGAAAAATTCAAAAATTGGGAAATTGAATTCGAAAAATGGAAAATTTAAAAAAAGAAGAAATGGAATGATCAAAAAATCGAAAAATCCAAAAGCCAATCAATCGATTGGTTGAGAAATCAAGAAATCGAAAAATTGAAAATAATTAAAAAAAAAACGAAAAAAGAAAAATCCAAAATCTGATAAATCGAAAACTCCAGAATTCGATAAATCTAAAATTTACAAAATCTAAAAATTAAAATGTCGAACAATTGAGAATTGATAAATTGAAAAATTGAAAAATCCAAACATCAGAAAGATCGGAAAATTAAAAAATCGAAAAATCTAACATTGAAAATTTCGAAAAAATTAAAAATAGAAAAATCGAAGAACTGATAAATCGAAAAATCGAGAATTCGAGAAATCTAAATTTTAAAAAATCGAAAGATTTAAATGTCGAATAATTGAAGAATCGATAAATTGAAAAATTGAGAAATCGAAACATCAGAAAAATCAGAAAATTTAAAAATCGAAACATCAAAAAAATCGAAAAAGCTGTAATTTAAAAAAATCGAAAAATTGTGAAGAATCGAAATATTGAAAAATCCCAAAACTGAAATATTAAAAAGTGTTAAAAATCGAATAAAAATTGAAGAATTGAGAAATTGAAAAATTAAAAAATCGAGGAATCGAAATCAGAAAGTCGAAAATTTAAAAAAATCAAAAAACTGATAAATCGAGAAGTCGAGAAATCAAAATAAAAAAACTGAAAAATTCGAAAAAATGAAGTATAGAAAAATTGAAGAATCGATATATTGTAAAATAATGAAATCGAAACTTCAAAAAATGGAAAAACTGAAAAATCTAAAAAGTAAAAAAATTGAGATAACGAAAAATTGAAGAAACGAAATATTGAAAAGTCCCAAAACTGAAATATGAAAAAAATCGCAAGATCGAGCTATCAAAAAATCGAATATATGTAAAACTAAAAAAATCTAAAAAACGCAAGAAAAACTGAGAAATCTCAAAACATCAAAAAATTAAAAATTGAAAAATTTTAAAATGACAAAAATTGGTAAATCGAAAAATCGGGAAAATGAAGAATAAAAAAATCGAAGCATCGAAATCTCGATAAATCGAAAAATTTAAATATCGACCAATTGAAAAACCGAGAAGTCGCAAATTGAAAAATCTAAAAAGTAAAAGTTGAAAAGTCCAAAAATTGGGAAATCGAAGTCGAAAAATCGAAAATTTAAAAAAAGAAGAAATGGAATGATCAAAAAATCGAAAAGTCCGAAAGCCAAAAAATGGATTAGTCGAGAAATCAAGAAATCGAAAAATTGAAAAAATTAAAAAAAAACGAAAAATAGAAAAATCCAAAAACTGTTAAATTGAAAACTCGAGAATTCGATAAATCTAAAATTTACAAAAACTAAAAATTAAAATGTCGAACAATTGAAAAATTTTAAATTAACAAAAATTGGTAAATCGAAAAATTGGAAAATATAAAATTCAAAAATTTAAAAAATCGACCAATTGAAAAGTCGAAAAATTCAAAAATTGGGAAATCGAAGTCGAAAAATCGGAAATTTAAAAAAGAAAGAAAAAGAAGAAATGACCAAAAAATCGAAAAATCCAAAAGCCAAAAAATCGATTGGTCGAGAAATCAAGAAATCGAAAAATTGAAAAAATTAAAAAAAAAACGAAAAATTGAAAAATCCAAAATCTAAAAATTAAAATGTCGAAAAATTTAAGAGCCGAAATATTGAAAATTCCAAAACTGAAACATCGAAAAATTGAAAAGTCGTGAAGTCGAAGTCGAAAAATCGAAATTTTAAAAAAAATCGAAAAATTGAAACCTAGAAATGGAATGATCAAAAAATCGAAAAACTAAAAGCCAAAAAATCGATTAGTTTGAGAAATCAAGAAATCGAAAAATTGAAAAAGGAGAAGTCGAGAAATCGAAAAAGCTAAAATTGAAATATAGAAAAATCGAAAATTCGAAAAATTTTAAAAATTGAAAAATTGAAGAATCGATAAATTGAAAAATCATCAAATCGAAACATCAAAAAATGGAAAAGTTGAAAAATCTAAAAAGTATAAAATCGAGAAATTGAAAAATTGAAGAAACGATATTGAAAAGTCAAAACTGAAATGTGGAAAAATTGAAATATCAATAAATCGAGAAGTCATGAAATCGAAACATCGAGTAGTTGATAAAGTGATAAACGGGATGATCAAAAAATTGAAAAATTGAAGAATCGATAAATTGAAAAATCATCAAATCGAAACATCAAAAAATGGAAAAGTTGAAAAATCTAAAAAGTATAAAATCGAGAAATTGAAAAATTGAAGAAACGATAGTGAAAAGTCTCAAAACTGAAATATGGAAAAATTGAAATATCGATAAACGAGAAGTCATGAAATCGAAACATCGAGTAGTTGATAAGCGATAAACGGGATGATCAAAAAATCTAAAATTCGAAAAATCGATTAGTCGAGAAATCAAGAAATCCAAAAATTGAAAAATTCGAAAAAATGAAAATTGAAAAATCAAAGAACTAATAAATCGAGAATTCGAAAAATCTAAAATTTAAAAAATCGAAACATCAAAAAAATCGAAAAAGCTGTAATTTAAAAAAATCTAAAATCGAAAAATTGAAAAATCGGGAAATGGAAGTCGAAAAATCGAAATTAAAAAAAAAAATAAAAATTGAAAAAGTGAAAAATTGATAAATCGAGAAGTGAAATCGAAACATCTAATAGTCGGGAAACCGAGAAATGGGATGATTAAAAATCCGAAAATTCAATTAATCGAGGAATCAAAAATCGAAATAAAACAATTGAAAAATTCGAAAAAATGAAATATAGAAAAATCGAAGAACTGAAAAATCGTGAAATCGAAACATCAAAAAATGGAAAAATTGAAAAATCTAAAAAGTAAAAAATCGAGAAAACGATAAATTGAGAAAACAAAATATTGAAAAGTTCCAAAACTGAAATATGGAAAAATTGATATATCGATAAATCGAGAACTCATGAAATCGAAACATCGAGTAGTTGAGAAAGCGATAAACGGGATGATCAAAAAATCGAAAAATTGAGAAATCGAAAAATAAAAAATGCAAATTTAAGAAATTGAAGAATCAGAAAACTGAAAAATTCCAAAACTGAAGTAACGAAAAATTGAGAAATCGAAAGTTGAAAAATCGAGAAATCGGAAAATCAAAAAGCTGAAAAATAAAAAATTCGAAAAATCGTTAATACAATTCTGACTTTTTTTCCAAAAATTCTCGATATCTAGGCTAAAAATTCAACACGGATTCATAAACGCCAATTCGAGGAGTACGTTGTTTTATAAAATTTAAAATAACATTTACCATTGTAAAATTCGGAGATGATGCAGATGGTCAAACAGATTTAGCATTTTACCATTCACATGGTGTTCCTAACATACAAAATTTTACAACAATCGGTCCGGTAATTTCGTATATTGTCTGTGTAATAAAAATCGGCACAGACGACAGACAGACGGACGGAAAGAAACGGGAGACTAACTTTTTTCGTACTCTAAGGGTCAGGAAACGTCGAGAAAACCAGCTTACGCTCGGGCAATAAAAACCCACTTAGAAAAGAAAAGAACACTTAAATATCAGATTTCTAGGGATAAATTAAAAAAAACAGAAACAAAAATTGCAAAAATTTGATCAAATTGTCAATTCCACCAGTATCTGAGCTATTTTAGAACCTTCGGTTCGGGTTCGCTACAATTAAAAACGAATTTTCTTTTAAGTCAGTAACTTACAAAATCCAATTTAAAAGTTGTTTCAGAAGCAGAAAAGATGTACGAGTTTACATTCACGCATCTCGTAAGTGGTAAGCACGGTGTTTTTTTTTCGTTGAGTTCCAAGTTGCTTGCACATCCCGAATAGGTTAGTTATAACTACGTCATCATGCGCAAATCTGCTGAATGTTTTCACAACGTGACCCTGATATATTTTTTTATTTATTATTGTTTTTTATTTTATTTTTTTTAGTCTGAATTCTAGTTTGAATAACATAAAAATAGATGTTTCAAACTAACGAGTTCCCGATATTATTACTAATTTTTTTTTTTTTTGTATTGCATTCTAACCTTTTGTGAGTTTTTGAAGTGCAATAAGCTTTTTCGGTTATGATTACATTGATATCAGAAAAAAAGGCGCATTCGATTTATATTTATTTTATTTTCTTCAAAAAAATGATGACGTTATGAGTGGTTTAACAATCCAGGGTAACTTTACTTGTAGAAGAGCAAAACTTTAAGAAAAACACACAAATAAAAACCCATAGTGAACGTAAAAGCCTCCGGACGGGTCCACTTACAAATTTAGGGCGAGGAAATTGTAGTGGTTATGCTGTCAATGCCGTGAGTTAACCTAACAATGTTTTTAAATTTGTAATGAAAATCCAGACTGTGTATACTTACAATTTTCAGAATTACTAAAACAGGATATTCCAAAAAAATAAATATACGAAGCGATTTATTTTCTTGATTATTTTAGGATCTGCTCATTTAATTTTCTTGACATTATGAAAACACAATAACGTTATTCACACCAAAAATTGGCAGCAATTATTGTAGACTCGAGAGTGATTGGCAAGTCTCAAAGGTTGCATTATCGTTCGAATTAATATTTTTTTAATAGTCGTTGACACTAAATGTGCATTGGAAACCACTTTATTTGCATTCTTTATTATCAATAAATTATACAAGTGGTTGTTCTTAGTATCTACACAGTTTAAAACACTTTTTCCTTAAAAACACGAATAAACTCTAAACCTGTGCTATTTTCAGCGATGGCGGCTTCTTGGAAAGGACCCTGGAAGCCCCATTTTCCCCCGGCATCGCCGGCCGCGTTCTAAGCTACGTAGACGAAGAAGTACCATCTCCGACCTCCAACGGCCTCTACGACACTCCCCCCTACAGCGCCAGCCATTCCCCCACGTCCCAAATCACAGACGAAGGCCTAGTGACGATAACTCTCTACCCCGACGACGGCAAATACGGTTTTAACGTAAAAGGCGGGGCCAATCCGGAGGAGCCAATTCTTGTATCAAGAGTTGCGCCCAACACGCCGGCTGATAAATGTACACCTAGGTTATCGGAAGGTGACCAGGTGCTGCAGATCAATGGGATTGATGTATCCCATGCGCTGCACGAAGATGTCGTTAATTTGATACATAAAGCGAGAGGCACCAATGATGGTATTCATTATTATTATTTTTTTTTGTAAGTGTGGTAATTTTGGCGGTTTTGTTACAGGGAAGTTGGTGCTGATTGTGAAACCGAATGTGTTGTATGTGGGTATGGAAGAGTTTGAAGAGCCGCCGTATCAGTATGTTCCTGCGGGAGATATGCAGCAGAGGCCGCCGTCTCCGGAGAATGCTCTTGAACAGAGTATGCTTTTGTTGGCGGATGGGTTGGCCAGTGGTGCTTTGATTGCGCGGTATGAGATGTTGTACAGGAAGCATCCGGATTTGACCTGTGATGTGTCTATGGAGGCCAAAAATATTAATAAGAACAGATATAGGGATATATCGCCTTGTGAGTACATATTATTTGTTTTTTTAAATGATTGGTCGCTGTCGCTATGGCGTATGGTTTTTTTTTAAGAATGAGTGATGAAAAGTAAAAAAAAAAACATAAAAGTTTTTGTGTTAAAAAAATTTACAATTGTGTTTACATTTACACAGCGAGCATTTGTTGTTTGTAACGTTTTTAAGTTTTACTTTGTGTCGTAGCATTTTCTTATTTAATTTTTATTCTTGCAGTAAATAAATCAGAATTTTGGATTACCAGTTATCAAGTTCTTGGAGAAAATCGTTTCTTTTTTGTCATCATAACACAACGTTTTTCAGCAATCTTATTTGTGAAAAATATAAATTTAATTTCTATGGCATACTTTTCTATGCATAAATATTGTGTTTTGTTTCGTAAGTTCATATTTGTTTGCTTTGCTACTTTGTAATAATTTTTTTTGTCATTTCTTTACTGCGGGCTTCAATTTTCTCAGTTATCTGCATCAAGTTGTAGTCGTGCTAACTCGAATATTATTCTGTCGAATCACGTCGACAATTTTGATGAATGCAAAAGTAACGTATGTATATGCATTATTTACAATTTTATAAATATGTAGTTATTTTACAAGCAAAAACAAATTTCGAACGTAAGTCAACTAAACAGTAAAAGTATAAATAAATTTTTAGAAAAACTACAGATAAATCAACACACTTTACTTAGTATTTGGTATTATTTTTTTTATTTGCGGTATTTTTGAAAGAATTGAGAGATTCTTAAGACTTGCTTTTGGAAGAATTTTAAAGAATCTGAAGTTCTTGCTGTCGGTTGTTTTTGAAAGAGTTTGAAACAAGAGTTTTAAAGAATTTCAGAGGCCTCTTATGTGTCTTTGAAAGAATTAAAAAAATCCTACTTTTGAAAGAATTTGTTGTTTGTTTTCGAAAGAGTTCAAAAGAACTTGGGGTCCCTGTTGTTTTATTTTTGAAAATTTTGCTAATCTCGAAGCTTCTGCTTTTTAAAGAATTTTGGTTTGTTTCTCAGAGAGTTTGATACAATCTTAGGGGTCTCTGTTGTTTTATTTTTGAACTAATTTTAAAGAATCTTGAAGGTTTTATTTTTCACCGGCTTTTAAAAAAATTCAAAAGAATCTCCACGGTCCCAGTTAACAATTTTAATTTTTTTAGGAATCTCAGAGGCTCCCAGTGGTTGTTTTTGAAATAATTTGTAAAAGATTTCAGACCCCTACTGGAAATTTTTTAAAAAGTTTTACTTACTTACCTTATTGACGGAAAAACATCCTTAAACAACACAAAGAAAAAATAATAAAATCACATGAGTGTATTACAATATTTTTTTTGATTTTATTATTTTGTCTTTGTGTTGTTTAAGGATGTTTTTCCGTCAATAAAGTAAGTAAAGTAGGTAAGTAGGTTTTGAAGAATTCCAAAGGCTTTCTGTGCCCTATTTTTAAGAATCTTATAAATCCTACTTTAAAAAAATTTAAACAATCTCAAGGGCTCTTGTTACTTGTTTTGAGAAAGGTTCGAAAGAACTCGGAGTTCCTGCTGTTTTATTTTTTAAAAATTTAATCTAATCTCGAAGCTTCTGCTTTTGAAAGAATTTTTAAGAATCTTAGAGGATCCCTGTGGTTTGTTTTTCAGAGAATGTTAGGGGTCTTTGTTTTATTTTTGAACGAATTTTAAAGATTCTTGGGGTTCCCTCTTTTCAAAGGCTTAAAACAAAATTCTGGTTTGTTTTCGAAAGAATTTGAAAAAATCTTGAGGGCCTTTTCAGTTTGAAATAATTTTGGGGACCCCTACTGTTTTATTTTTGGAAGAATTTTAAAGATCTCAGGAATCCCTGGTGGTGGCAATTTTTGAAAGAGTTTTTAAGAATTTTGGAGGCTTCTTGTGCTATGTTTTTGAAAGAATCTTAAAAATCCTACTTTTGAAAGAATTTTAAACAATCTTAGGATCTGTTGTTACTTCCTTTGGAAGAGTTTGAAAGAACTTGGAGATTTATTATTGAAAATTTTAACTATTCTCGAAGCTTCCGGCTTTCGAAAGAATTTTTAAGAATCTCAGAGGATCCCTGTTGTTTGTTTTTCAGAAAGTTTGATAGAATCTTAGGAGTCCTTGTTGTTTTATTTTTGAACGAATTTTAAAGATTCTTGAGGCTCCTACTTTTCAAAGGCTTTTAAAATGTTTTAGGGATTTCTTCTGGTTTGTTTTCGAAAGAGTTTGAAAAAATCTTGAGGGTCTTTAATGACAATTTTAGTATTGTTTTAAGAACCTCAGATGCTCCCTGTGGTTGTTTTAAAATAGTTTGAAATAGTTTTGGGAACCCTTGCTGTAAAATTTTTGAAAAAATTTTAAATAATCTCAGGGGTTCCCGGTGGTTTGTTTTTAAAAGAATTTAAAAGATTTCGGAGGCACCCGTTGTTTTGTTCTTGAAAGAATTTGAAAGAATCTTCGAGGCTCCTGGTGACAATTTTTGGAAGAGTTTTAAAGAATTTCAGTTGCTTCCTGTGCTGTATTTTGAAAGAATCTTAAAGATCCTATTTTTGAAAGAATCTCAAGGGCTCTTATTTCTTCTGTTTTCGGAAAAGTTCGAAAGAACTTGGAGTCCCTGCTATTTTATTTTTGAATAAATTTTAAGCAATCTCGACGCTTCTGCTTTTGAAAGAATTTTTAAGACTCTCAGAGGCTCCCTGTGGCTGTTTTTGGAATAGTTTGAAATAATTTTGGCGACCTTTTCTGTTTTATTTTTTAAAGAATTTTAAATAATCTCAAGGGCTCTCTGTGGTTTGTTTTTGAAAGAATTTTAAAGATCTCAGGGCACCCGATGTTGGGTTCTTGAAAGAATTTTCAAGACCCTGGCTGACAATTTTTGAAAGAGTTTTAAAGAATTTCAGGGGCTTTCTGTACTGTATTTTTGAAACAGTCCTAAAATCGTATTTTTGAAAGAATTTTAAACAATATTAGAGAGGCTCTTGTGTTTATTTTCGGGAGATTTCGAAAGAACTTGGTGTCTGTCCCTGCTATTTTATTTTTGAATAAATTTTAAGGAATCTCGATGCTTCTGCTTTTGAAAGAATTTTTAAGAATCTCAGAGGCTCCCTGTGGTTGTTTTTGGAATTGTTTGAAATAATTTTGGCGACCTTTTCTGTTTTATTTTTTAAAGAATTTTAAATAATTTCAAGGACTCCCTGTGGTTTGTTTTTGAAAGAATTTTAAAAATCTCAGGGCACCCGATGTTTTGTTCTTGAAAGAATTTTTAAGGCCCCTGCTGACAATTTTTGAAAGAGTTTTAAAAAATTTCAGGGGCTTTCTGTGCTGTATTTTTGAAACAGTCCTAAAATCGTATTTTTGAAAGAATTTTAAACAATATTAGAGAGGCTCTTGTGTTTATTTTCGGGAGATTTCGAAAGAACTTGGTGTCTGTCCCTGCTATTTTATTTTTGAATAAATTTTAAGAAATCTCGACGCTCCTGCTTTTGAAAGAATTTTTAAGAATCTCAGAGGCTCCCTGTGGTTGTTTTTGGAATAGTTTGAAATAATTTTGGCGACCTTTTCTGTTTTATTTTTTAAAGAATTTTAAATAATCTCAAGGGCTCCCTGTGGTTTGTTTTTGAAAGAATTTTAAAGATCTCAGGGCACCCGATGTAGGGTTCTTGAAAGAATTTTCAAGGCTCCTGCTGACAATTTTTGAAGGAGTTTTGAAGAATTTCAGGGGCTTTCTGTACTGTATTTTTGAAACAGTCCTAAAAATCGTATTTTTGAAAGAATTTTAAACAATATTAGAGGGGCTCTTGTGTTTATTTTTGGGAGATTTCGAAAGAACTTGGTGTCTGTCCCTGCTATTTTATTTTTGAATAAATTTTAAGGCATCTCGATGCTTCTGCTTTTGAAAGAATTTTCAAGAATGTCAGAGGCTCCCTGTGGTTGTTTTTGGAATAGTTTGAAATAATTTTGGCTACCTGTTCTGTTTTATTTTTTAAAGAATTTTAAATAATCTCAAGAGTTCCCTGTGGTTTGTTTTTGAAAGAATTTTAAAGATCTCAGGGCACCCGATGTTGGGTTCTTGAAAGAATTTTCAAGGCCCCGGCTGACAATTTTTGAAAGAGTTTTAAAGAATTTCAGGGGCTTTCTGTACTGTATTTTTGAAACAGTCCTAAAAATTTTATTTTTGAAAGAATTTTAAGGAACCTTAGGGGCTCTTGTGTTTATTTTCGGGAGATTTCGAAAGAACTTGGTGTCTGACCCTGCTATTTTATTTTAGAATAAATTTTAAAGATTCTTGTAGCTTCTGCTTTTGAAAAAATTTTTAAGAATCTCAGAGGGTCTCTGTGTTTCTTTTTTTCAAAGAGTTTCATAGAATCGTAGGGACTCCTGGTGATTTATTTTTGAATCTTTTTAAAAAATCTTGAGGCTCCTACATTTCAAAGGCGTTTAAAAAATTTTAGGGGTTTCTTCTAATTTGTTTTCGAGAGTTTGAAAGAATCTTGAAGGCCTTTGTTGACAATCTTTTTCTTAAGAATCTCAAAGGCTCTCTGTTGTTTTATTTTTGAACTAATTTTAAAGAATCTTGAAGGTTCTATTTTTCAAAGGCTTTTAAAAAAATTAGAGAATTCTTCTGGTTTGTTTTCGAAATAGTTCAAAAGAATCTTCAGGGTCCCAGTTAACAATTTTATTTTTTTTAGGAATCTCAGAGGCTCCCAGTGGTTGTTTTTGAAATAGTTTGTAAAAGATTTCAGACCCTACTGGAATTTTTTTAAAAAGTTTTGAAGAATTCCAAAGGCTTCCTGTGCTCTATTTTTAAGAATCTTAAAAATCTTACTTTAAAAAAAAAATAAACAATCTCAGGGGCTCATGTTACTTGTTTTGAGAAGGGTTCAAAAGAACTTGGAGTTCCTGCTGTTTTATTTTTGAAAATTTTAACTAATCTCGAAGCTTCTACTTTTGAAAGAATTTTTAAGAATCTCAGAGGATCCCAGTGGTTTGTTTTTCAGAGAATCTTAGGGGTCTTTGTTTTATTTTTGAACGAATTTTAAAAATTCTTGGGGCTCCCACTTTTCAAAGGCTTAAAACAAAATTAGGGCTTTCTTCTGGTTTGTTTTCGAAAGAATTTGAAAGAATCTTGACGGCCTTTGTTGACAATCTTTTTTTTAAGAATCTCAAAGGCTGCCTGTGGTTGTTTTTGAAGTAGTTTGAAATAATTTTGGGGACTCCTACTGTTTTATTTTTGAAAGAATTTTAAAGATCTCAGGAGTCCCTGGTGTTTTGTTCTTGAAAGAATCTGGGCGCCCCTGCTGGCAATTTTTGAAAGAGTTTTTAAGGATTTTGGAGGCTTCTTGCGCTATGTTTTTGAAAGAACCTTAAAAATCCTACTTTTGAAAGAATTTTAAACAATCTTAGGGGCTGTTGTTACTTGCTTTTGGAAGAGTTCGAAAGAACTTCGAATCCCTGCTGTTTTATTTTTGAAAATTGTAACTAATCTCGAAGCTTCTGTTTTTGAAAGAATTTTTAAGAATCTCAGAGGATCACTGTGGTTTGTTTTTCAGAGGGATTGATAGAATCTTGGGGCTCCTACTTTTCAAAGGCTTTTAAAACATTTTAAGGGTTTCTTCTGGTTTGTTTTCGAAAGAGTTTGAAAGAATCTTGGGGGTCTTTAGTGACAATTTTAGTATTTTTTTAAGAATATCAGAGGCTCCCTGTGGTTGTTTTAAAATAGTTTGAAATGGTTTTGGGAACCCTTGCTGTTAAATTTTCGAAAGAATTTTAAATAATCGCAGGGGTTCCCGGTGGTTTGTTTTTAAAAGATTTCGGAGGCACCCGTTGTTTTGTTCTTGAAAGAATTTGAAAGAATCTTCGAGGCCCCTGCTGACAAACTTTGAAAGAGTTTTAAAGAATTTCAGGGACTTCCTGTGCTGTATTATGAAAGAATCTTAAAGATCCTATTTTTGGAAGAACTCTTTTTAAGAATCCCAGTGGTTGTTTTGAAATAGTTTGAAATCATTTTGGGGACCCCTACTGTTTTATTTTTGAAAGAATTTTAAAGCTCTCAGGGATCCCTGGTGTTTTGTTCTTGAAAGAATCTGGGAGATCCCTGCTAATAATTTTTGAAAGATTTTTTAAGAATTTCAGAGGTTTCTTGTGCTATGTTTTTGAAAGAATGTTAAAAATTCTACTTTTGGAAGAATTTTAAAGAATCTCAGGGGCTTTTGTTGTTTATTTTCGGAAAATTTCGAATGAACTTGGGGTTCTCGCTGTTGTATTTTTGAAAAAAGTTTCAAGAATCTCGAAGCTTCTGCTTTTGAACAAATTTTTAAAAAATTTCAGAGTCCCTGTGGTTTATTTTTCAAAGAGTTTGATAGAATTTGGGGGGTATCTGTTGTTTTGTTCTTGAGCGAATTTTAAAGAATCTTGGGACTCCTACTTTTCAAAACATTTTAGGGGTTTCTTCTGGTTTGTTTTTGAAAGAGTTTGAAAGAATCATGAGAGCCTCTGTTGACAACCTTAATTTATTTAGGAATCTCAGAGGCCCCTTGTGGTTATTTTTTAAATAGTTTGAAATAATTTTGGGTAGCCTTGCAGTTTTATTTGTGAAAGAATTTCTTTTGAACGAATTTTTAAAAATTTCAGAGACTCTTTGTGATTTGATTTTTAGAGTTTGATAGAATTTTGGGGAGATCCTGTTGTTTTATTTTTGAACGAATTTTAAAGAATCTTGAGGCTTCTACTTTTCTTTCAAAGGCTTTTAAAAAATTTTAGGGGATTCTTCTGGTTTGCTTTCGAAAAAGTTTGAAAGAATCTTGAGGGTAGTTGGTGACAATTTTATTATTTTTTTGAGAATCTCGTAGGCTCCCTGTGGTTGTTTTTGAAATATTTGAAATAATTTTGGGAACCCTTGCGTCTTATCTTTGAAGGAATTTGAAAGATTTCAGGGGCACCCGGTGTTTTATTCTTGAAAGAATTTAGAAGAATGTGAAAGGTCCCTGCTGATAATTTGTGAAAAATAATCTCCGAAACTACCGAACCGATTGTTGTAAAATTGTTTATGTATATATGTTAGGAATATCGTGTAAATGGTAAAACGCTAACCAAAATTTATCTGATCGTTCCCACCCACACGTAAAAACATCACCATTAAAATTTTGCATATTTCAGTTTTATAAAATGATACACTCCTATACTTGTCCTTTTTATAAATCCGCTTTGTTTGTTTATTATTATTACAATTTTTATTGTTTAAACCTTCTTCATCACATAATACGTAACTAGGGAAATCTGACTCAAACCTGTTGAGAGGCACTCTTGTTTTACAGTTGAAAGGTTGGGGTTCGATCCCCTTGGGAGTTTGTAATTTTCTTTATTGATCAAATCAAGAACGGTATACTCAATTTATTTTTAGTAGCATTACTTTATCAATGCACTGGTATTTTTTGTACAACTGGTAACCGAGCTTCTTTTCCTATTGTCGGTGGAAAAGTACCAAATATAAATAAGGCAACAATGTGTTTTTGTAAACATAATACGTTCGAAACAAAGGCAGGCAGCAAAAATTTGTCTGACATCCTCCACCAATAATTTGATATATTATATCTGAATAAATAAATGCTACTTGAAATTTCCAAAATAATATAACTATTTTTGATGATTTTTCAATGGTTGAAACCACGTTTTGAATTTCTTCCAGACGATACAACACGTGTGATATTAAAAAACGCCCCCAGCGGCGACTACATTAACGCCAATTACGTAAACATGAAAATAAACGGAACAGACACCACGAACCAATACATCGCGACCCAAGGACCTCTCCAATCCACCAGCGAAGACTTCTGGCAGATGGTCCTGGAAGAAGACTGCAACCTAATTGTGATGCTCACGACAATAGTGGAACGTGGAAGAGCGAAATGTCACAAATATTGGCCGAACCAAGGCGAATGCCTCACCATGCAAAATGTGATAATTAAATGTGTCCAGGAGATCACCGACCCGTCTGAAAGCTTTATTTTCAGAGACTTCATCCTAACCGACGTAAAGGTGCGAAGACGCGTCTATAAAACCCGTCAAACGTTTAAATTTTGCGATTTTAGAACGACACCGAACGTGAAATCAAACACATGCAGTACGTAGCCTGGCCAGACCATGGGGTTCCCGATTCGCCAGCCCAGTTTTTGAGTTTCACAGAGAAAGTCCGGGAGGCCAGGAAAGGCGACGCTGCACCGGTGGTGGTCCACTGCAGCGCGGGGATTGGTCGGACCGGCGTTTTGGTTTTGATGGAGACTGCGCTGTGCTTAATCGAGGCCCAAGAACCGGTTTATCCGCTGGAAATCGTGAAAACCATGAGGGAGCAACGAGCTATGATGATTCAGAATGCTGTGAGTAAAATTGGGGGAGTGAAAGTGTGTTTTTATAGTGTTTTTGGTTTTCAGAGTCAGTACAGGTTCGTTTGCGAGAGTGTCCATATAGCATATTTGCAAACGATCGACGACACACAAGAAGCCAAGCTTTTTAGGTGAAAGTAATCAGAGTTGAGAGTTTATTTATTTTTGTTTAAAATAATGAAGACAGCAGGGTTTTTTGATTGACAAATCCGTCTGGCGCAGACGACGTTCATGTGATTTTTTTAAGCCTTAACCTGGAAGTTCATTGAGTCGCCTGGAATTATTTTTTCGACAATTCAATACTCATAATTTAATTTGAGTAAATCGTATTGTTTTGGCTCGTTGATTCAAGTACCATTTCTGACGATTATTGCAATATTATATAGTTGTTTCCTTGTTTGGAGGAATGTTAGTGCTTGTGGTTAATAGGCAGTTAATGAATTAATCGTACTAAGATGAAGACATTAAAGGCTGATTTTCTATTCTCTGGTAAATTATTATTGTGGAAGTTGTTAGGCTGTCCTGTAGTTTAAATTTATCAAGAATAAGAAATTTATCAAGAGTGTTCGTGTTCATCACCTTGTGGTTTTGTAACATTTATTTAACAGGTTGTTGATGTAAACTATACTAATCACGATAAAATATTGTTTTAAACAAGTACAAAAATCGTATGTTACTTTTTCATGTATATTTTTCATTTAATCACGTAACTGAAAAACATATAATCTATTAGACATAATACAATTATGTAATTTTTAAAAGTTTACAAAAGATTAATATATTTGTCAATTTAAGTTTTTCGATATTTTGCTTGAATCCAGACTCTGTACATCTTGAGCAGCCGCCCCCTGTTCACTTGCAAGCGTCTGTCGGCCCGGTTTTCTTCCTCGTTGAAACCGTGTCTCTCAAATAATTGTTTAACTTCGTCTGAAAAAAAAAGTATAGTTTATCCCCTCCCGAAAGTAATGACGTCATCGCAAAAAATTATTTAACCTGTATACCTTGAGTAAAAAAATATACCCTGGTGCCATCCCCTCGCACGTAGAAATTTTCCCCTAAGGAGCGCCCAGGTTTAAATCGCAGTTGCGCCATATCATAGCGTCCATAGTCTCTGAATAAAACTAAGCCCCCAGGTTTCAAATATTTGTACATATTTTGAATTACGTTATTAAACCTAGAAACACAGTTTTATACTCAGTGCACTAATTGAATTCAAACTTATACTTTAACGGGTTTATTGCAGACAAGACAAATATTAAAACAATAATGTCTATACTGTTTTCTTCAAGTGGAACCTCCCACGTCTCTTGAGTTGCATCCAATACAAAAACACTACACCTATTTGGGTCAAACTCAGGCGCTTCTTTAAGAATGTCTATGGCTTTTGGGGAAAAGTCGCCCCCGTAGACGTACAAGTTCGGGCTTTTTGAGTTCTGTAGGATCGGACAAATGGTGTTCCCTACACCACACCCAACCTCAAATATCCTCTTGGCTTCATTCTCACCCACCGACAGCTCCGGAAACTCGGTGAACAACCAATGCCTGTCTTTAAAAAACCTGTTGGTGTGAATGTCGTAGAACGCGTCCCAGTACTTGTCCGCTTCGTTTTCAAATTTCTCGATCACGTCGCGTTCCAACTTAACCTCACTATTCTCCTCGACTTTCTTGCGGGCTTGGGTTTCATGCTCCTCGTCCCACTCGACGTCGTCCCTGCAAAAGTACAATTTCATGAATTGTTGATTCCTGAAATTACCCTACCAAGCATTGAAATCAAAAATTTTGCTTTTGTCGAGTAAGAATCGGGTGCCGTATTTGGGTTTCTTGCGACCGCGAGTGTGGCACCCGCGGGTGGGTAAAATTTTCATACCACGCATTATGCTCGAAAACATTGCTTTCGTCCGTCAGGAATCTGTTGCCGAATTGGGGCCTCCGTGGCTCGCACATTTTGAGGTTATGTTTAGACGGGCGATTTTTATAGGAATTTTGTGCGGTTGGTAGAAGTGCCCTGGAGGAAAAAATCGGGTGTAGTTCTACCAGGCGATTAAGTTTTCGCTCTCGGGTTAATCCTGGCGGTCGTTGATGGCGACGTTCGCGTGAAATTGGGCGGTTTTGGGGTTGTTGGGTGCAACTCGCGGGTTGTGGGTGTGTTTGTGGGTTCGGGTGGTGTTTTAGTCGTTGTGGTGTCGGTGACTTGATCGCGCCGGGTTGGCTATGTTATGTCTGGTGACGTCACCAGATTTGACATGACATTAGTTGGTATTTACCCAAAGAATTCTTGTGTCGTATGCGGTTTGCTACCGCTAAATAAAATTGGGTGTTTCTAGTATTTTCATATAAACTTGTTGTTTTTATATAAATTTACATAGTCGAAATCAGTACAAATCAAATTAAAAGACTGACGTGACGTGTTTTGTGGGATTTAGTAGTGTTTTGGGCGTTTTTGACATCTGTCAAAGTATTAGGAGGGCGTATTCATTGCCAAGGAATCCGAGAATTCAATTTCATTTTTGATCGTTTATTACTGATTTTATTTTGGGAAAAAGTGCCTTTGTCCGCAAATGTGCACGGAATCGGTAGTGTCCGACTCGCAGGTTCCATCGTTTTAAGGTAAGTGTTGAAATTTTGGGTTGGTGCGACACGGTGTACGAAATTGTTATCACAAGTCGGTTCGTTTCATGGTATTTTTACACTTTGAGCGATTATATTTTGACCGGTTTGAGACGTAGGCAGAAGAGGCCATTTCTCCTCCCATCGCATTTAAACGTGGACTTTTCCTAAATTGAGTCATCCGTATGGTTATTTAGGTGGGCCCCCGATAGCCGGCCGATAGTCTCTTCCACGTTCCCTGCGAAGAGATTAACGCTGATAATTCGCGTAGGCGAATTCGTGGAATTTATTAAGCCGTCCATTAATTTAACGAACCTATTGATAACGTTATCGAGAGGCTATTTTGCCTCTGAACTCATTCATGCCACTTTCAAATTTGATTATTCAGACACAATGTGAAAGTACCTATATGTCACAGATTCTAGAAATCGCCGAGACCCAGCATGCAAATCGCTCCTCCGGCCATTAAATCCTCAAATTGCTAACGAAATCACCACACGTTACTATTATCAATAACAATCAAACCCACTCCATAACGCTCTGTACTTAATTAACCATAATAATTAATTCTCCAGCAGTCTGTTTGGGGAAAATTCCCGTTAATTTATTGCCGCTATCTCCTTACTTGATCTCCACTACAATGCTACCAATTTGTTTAATAACGTTGTTGATGGGAATTTTCAAATAGTTCTGCAATCATCGACCATTAACAGCTTAACCCCGAAAATGAATTTTTCAGCCATTGCTTGGCCAACCGACAATCGCACACAGGAAGGAAGTAATTTTATTAAATGGATACACAAGTGGAAAATGATGATGTATTCGTTGTTTTCACACCATTTCCCGAGGGCGATCGCACGTTTTTATTTACTGATTCGGAAAATGGGTCATTATCGGTTGCAATTATTATCGGCAAGCTTATCTGAATGCGTTTTGACATGCTGCGAAGGGGAGAAACAACGGTTTGAAGGGAAGGGTAACATTTGATCATTGACACACGTAAAAAACGGCAATTTTTAACTTGTTATCACAGTCATTACTTGCAAGAATTTTCCGCATACCAGATGAATTAATTCACGATAAACTGATACGAGCGAATGTCAATATTTCGCAACCAGTTTGAACAAAAGTTCCAGAATGACATTGTGGAAGACAGTGTTGTCAGATGAATTATCCCTAGTGTAATTTTTTAAACTTTCAGTAGTGTGATTGTGGTTTAGGGGAAATTAGCTTACGTCAGATTTGACATTTCGCTCCAAGATGGCTGCTTTCCACTCGAATTATTTATTCGTTTTTAATTTCATTTCGTCCGTAACTAAGAGAAACTAATTCAGAATTACAGAGTTCAGAGTCGTTGGCTTTTTTAGCTTTTGTAGCTATTTAGGCATGGCTTAACTAAACTTTATTTTTTTCGTAATATTTAGCTATTCATTACTAAACTTTGAAATGTTCCGACCTTTTCGCCACTACTGATTTAGAAAATGATTTAAAAATTGCACAAGATCAATATAAAGATCAAGTGAATATTAACAAAAAACTGTGTGCTAAAGGCTGATGTCTTGAAAACAAAAGACCTAACTAGTGTGGCCTGTAGCACAAACGATTTTACAGAGCTCAAGCGAATACCATCTAAAAGAGGAATGTTTTAAAAGTGAATGTTGTAAAATAGAAAAGCCAATCCAAAAAAGAAAGGGTGATTTAATTAGTCTTTTAAGCAAAATAAGGAAACTTGATTAAAATTAATATTTATAATAATTTATAACATGCTCTTACTTTGTAGAGTTTAATATTTATTTTGTTGTATTTTTATACATTTTTAATATTTACTTTTTAGCGTAAATAAATAGCTATTTTAGCTACTTTTAACATTCACATCTGCTCTGAATCCTCGAATTATTTTTTTGTTATGATGAATGAAAACACTGCGTGTAAAACCTCTGACGTGCAGAAAGAAATCCCGCTTTTTTGAAAAATAATAAAAAATGTTTGCTATTTTTGTTTTCTGATAACCTCTATAAAGTAAAAACCAGTGCACACTCCTGCAGATTCTTGGACGTGAATTTTTCAATTCTTCAATTTTTCATTTTTTTGTTTCTTCAATTTTTTGATTTGCAATTTTTCAATAGGAGTTACTTGAGTTTTCAATTTTTCGATTTGTAATTTTTTATTTTTCCGTTTTTTGCTTCTTTAATTTTTAGATTTTGCAATTTTGCGATTTGCAATTTCATGAGTTTTTTCAATTTTTCGGTTTCATGATCTTCAATTTTTCCTTTCTTCAACTTTTGATTTGCAATTTTTCTAGTTTTCATTTTGAAGATGTAATTATAATAATTTTTTAAATATTTTCCGTTTTAATTTTTAAGTTTCTCGATTTGTAGTTTCTCAATGTTTCAATTTTTCGTTTTTCAGTTCTTCGACTTGCAATTTTTCGATTTTTCACTGTTTCGGTTTGTAATGTTTCGATTTTTCAACTTTTTGAATTTAAAAAAATGGAAAAATTGCGAAATTTTAAAATTGAAAAATCTAAAAATCGGAAATCAATTTTTCGTTTCTCAATTTTACGACTTTTCAATTTTTCGATTTGCCATTTTTCGGTTTCCAGTTCTTCATTTTTTTACTTTTGGATTTTTTAAATTTTCGTTTTTTCAATTTTAGATTTTCGGTTTCATGATTTGCAATTTTTCTAGTTTTCATTTTGAATAGGTAATTATAATGATTTTTAAAATATTTCACGTTTTCAATTTTACAATTTTAGAATTTTTCCATTTTTCATTTAATGGATCTTAAAACAGTTTCATTTATTTGATTTTCGATCTTTAATTTTTCAGTTTCTCTATACTTAATTTTTCAATTTTTCGATCTGTCAGTGTTACAGTTTTTCTATGGTACAATTTCAACGATTCGATTCGTTTTTTCTTCTGTGCAATTTTTCGATTTTTAAGTTTCCCGATTTTTTGGTTTTCAGTGTTTCGATTTTTCTTTTCTTTTGTTCTTGGATTTGCAATTTTTGGATTCTCCACTGTTTCGATTAATAATTTTTCGATTTTTAAACATTTTCAATTAAAAAAAAAAATAACAGAAAAGTTGCAAAATTGTAAAATCGAAAAATCAAAAATGAAAAAACGTAAAAGTATAAAATGAAATCTTTCAAAAATCTAAAAATTGGATATCAATTTTTCGTTTGTTCAGTTTTTTCGTTTTGCGATTTTTTCAGTCTTTCATTTTTTTAATTCTTCAATTTTTAGATATTACAATTTTTTTTAATTTTTCATTTTTCAATTTTTGATGTTTATAATTTTTTGCTTTTTCAATTTAAATTTTTTCAGTTTTTCGTGTCCTCTGGTTTTTGTTTCACCAGTTTTTCAATTAGCAAATTTTCGGTTCAGTTTTTTTTTTAATTTCTGCAATTTTTCGGTTTTTCTATTTTTAGACTTCTTAATTTTTCATTTTTTCAATTGTAAATTTTTCAGTTCCTTGATTTTTCAATTTTTCGTTTATTCAATTTTTATTTGCAAGTTTCTAATTGTCATTTTAAACATGAAATTTTAGTAATAATTATGTTTTCTTAAATTTTTTATTTTTTCAATTTTACGATTTTAGATTTTTTCCATTTTTCATTTCAATTCGATTTTACCATTTTTGGGTTTCCCAATTTTTCGATTTTAAATTTTCTCGATTTTTAGTTTTTCAATGTTTCGATTTTTCGTTTCTTCAGTTTTTCAATTTGCAATTTTTCGATTGTCCACTTTTTCGATTAGTAAATTTTGGATTTTTTAACTTTTTGAATAAAAAAAATAGAAAAATTACAAAATTGTAATATTGAAAAATCAAGAAGGGAAAAACGAAAAAGTGTAAAATGAAAACTTCGAAAAACTTAAAAATTGGGAAGCAATTTTTCGTTTTTCCAGTTTTTCATTTTTTTCAGTTTTTCGATTTACGATTTTTCAATTTTTAATTTTTTTTTTATTCAATTTTTCGATTTGCAACTATTGGTTTCGGTTTTGATTTTTTCAATTTTTGCAGTTTTTCGTTTTTTCAACTTTTAGACTTTTTCATTTTTTGAATTGTAAATTTTTCAGTTTCTTGATTTTTCAATTTTTTGTTTATTCAATTTTTTATTGGCTAGTTATTTTAAATATGTAGTTGAAGTAATGATTATTATTATTTATTAAATTTTTTACTTTTTCAACTTTACAATTTTGGCGATTCCATAATTTTTTGATTCTACGATTTTTGAGTTTGCCAATTTTTTGATTTTAAACTTTCTCGATTTTTAGTTTTTCAAGTTTCGATTTTCCGTTTCTTCAGTTTTTCAATTTGCAATTTTTCGATTTTCCACTTTTTCGATTTGTAATTTTTGGATATTCAACTTTTTGAATAAAAAATAGAAGAATTACAAAGTTGTAATATTGAAAAATCAAGAAGGGAAAAACGAAAATGTATAAAATGAAAACTTCTAAAAATTGGGAATAAATTTTTCGGTTTTTGAATTTTTCGAATAACGGTTTTTCAATTTTCATTTTTTTGTTTCTTCAATTTTTCGATTCTGTCATATTTCATTTCTTCGAATTTTCGATTTACAACTTTTGATTTCGGTTTTGATTTTCCTTATTTTTACAATTTTTGAAATTTCGATGTTTATAATTTTTTGTTTTTTTAAACTAAATTTTTTCAGTTTTTCGTTTCCTGAATTTTTCAATTTGTAATTTTTCGTTTCAGTGTTTATTTATTTTTGCAATTTTTGCAATTTTTCGTTTTTTTCAACCTTTAGATTTTTAATTTTTAATTTTTTCGCTTTAAAATATGTATTTCAGTTTTTTGATTTTTCAAATTTTCGTGTATTCAATTTTTGATTTGCAATTTTTCAATTATTTGATTTTAAAACTTTTTCATTTGTTCGATTTTTCAATTTTTGGATGTTTCAATGTTACATTTATTCTACTTTACGAGTTTTACAGTTCTATAATTTTTCAATTTTTACAATTTTTGGATTTCGCAAT